CGGTTGGAGTATTCTAGAGGTCGATCGTTTAGTATGAAAAAATGCTGTTTTGTTTAGATTTGTATAAAATAGAAGTAGATACGATTTCTTCTTCAATAGTCAACGGACTGAGCGAAATGATAGATGCCTACTATGCGATGGCGTCTAGAGTTGTGATGCGTTTTGATCATAACTTCGACGGAAAGACACGTACTAGATCATGGGATAAAGATAAGGGATAGATAGACGGGTTGATTGGTTGATGATTGATCGATAGAGAGATAGAGTGAAAATAGAGAGAGAGAGAGAGAGAGAGAGAGAGGGAGAGAGAGATTACACAAATGAAGAAGAGGAATTATAATTTGTTAGGACTCGAAAAAGGTATTTAAAAGTTTAGAAAGGTCAATAAAGGAAAATTAGGGACCGGGACTGAATGAGTGGGAGAGAGAGAGAGAGAGAGAGAGGGGGGGGGGGGGGGGGGGGGTGGGGTAGAGGGCGAGGAGGAGGAAATGATGGAGGGGGAAGACAAGGGGGTCCGGAGGAACACGGCATGTCATCTCTTCAAAATGACATACCCAAGACATCGGATGAATGACTCGAACCATTCCATCTTGCAGAGCTCCTCGTAACTTCCCTTCCGTCTCGCACTGACAAATCTCCTAGGAATCTAACTAGAATCAATTAGACTTTTTAAGACAGGAAATTGTTTGTATCCACGACCATTTTAAGGTTTAGTTGACTTGTACAACACAGCTGGTAAATATCGAGCATAATCAAAAGTAATTTGATTCAGCAATAGTCTTGCAAGTCTCCAATTGGTTTTACTTCAAACAGGTGTCTTTTATACCTGTTTTGCCATGCATGGTTTTCGTTTTGCCGCTCTGAAAATAGTTATACCTAGTACATGTAACAATTCTATACAACAACATAAAAGTCTATGGTATAGGACAACTATCAATAAGAACTACAATCATGCATAAAATTGCTTCACTGCCGCCTAAAATTGAGATATTTTTAGAACATGATTTGCACAACATTTTAGTACTCTACTCAAGAAAATACCCCCAAAGAGTCATTACACACTTTGCAATATCGTTATGAGACTAGTCACTATATTTATAATCACAAACATGTTTCTTCTACATCTGCTTAGTCTTTGGGGTTTTAAATCAGATTTTGTCACCAGGGGCCTATTTGTATAAATATTTTACCGTCCATTATAGGCTATGTTTGTAATGTAACCAAGTTTATGCATTTGCCTTTGTAAAGCGCCTCGATACTAATTATTTCATTCATCTGTTACGAATACATGTACTCAATAGTCAGAATTCAAATTCAATACATTAGTTGTTGCTAGGTAGGACAAACATCATGGATTGCCTTACGTAACAACACGTAATATATGCAATTTCCGTTCTGACTAATGAAATGCAATTAATCGTAAAAGGTGAATGGAATAATTCGTATTGAGACACTTAAGAATAAATTTGGTTACATTTCGAAAAGGGCCTATCACCTGTTTAATGAAACGGCAATTGCAGCAATCAGGCGATGGAAGAACTTAATTTAATTCAATTTAATTTTAATTAAAGAACTTTACATAACTATCTTGATCTAAGGATCTCACGAACGAACGAACTTGTGAGCGACTGAATATTTATTTAGTGTGATAGTTACAAGTTCTTAATGATTACATTACTCTTGATATTATGACTGGACATTTATCCGTCATGCAAATGTAAATAAACTTTCAGTCACCTCCCTGGAGGGGTATCATTCCCCTGTGCATCGCATGTTTGGTGAAGCACCACAAGTCTCCAGGATACTAACTTCCATCCAATGACTCGGCGTGATGCATTATACTTATACCTGAAGAAACAAAATAATATCAAGAGGGCTTAACTTCGTTCTATGAAGTTGTGAGATCGCAAAGACTTTCGAGAAATGAACACAAGGGCAATGTTAATACTCTATTTCATATCCCCAAATTTTTTTGTTCGGATTACGTAATACGCTATTGTAATTTTCACACATTTCAAAAGGTGGTGGCCAAGGCTAGTGAAATTGTCTTATGTTAAGTTTTTAAAAAGTTCTGCGATCATGTTAAATGTTGTATTGCTATACTGTGATTGGAAACATATTGCTCCTCTATACTGTTTGTGTGTAGAGGACATAACATGTTAAGACAATCTCTTAGTCATTACACTATTCGTAATTGATATTTTCAAATATTCATTTTGTAAACGTCTTCCGCATACCTTTCTCCTATTTTTCATTATAATTTAAACGTCTGTATTGTAATTCATTCCTAAATGTCTTAATTGTATGAAACATATTTATTGTAGCTCCTATTGACCCTAAGTATGATTAGCATCACTGTTCCAAGATTTCTTGATACAAAATTATCACATATACATTGGTATTTTCTTAACTAGTATCTCTCTTCCTAATATTTTGTTTTCTGCACTCTCGGCAAATAGTGCATTTGGGTGATCTTCTTGACGATTTCTTTATGCACTTTTAATCTGTTGATGTTTCACCAACCTGGAAAGATGACATACACCCTTCTTACCTTCATCGTCTTCTCACTGGCCCCTCCCCTATCCTTCCTGATTGAATTGACCAGTCGGTATATTAATAGCTCGTCACCATAGCAACGGCGAAACATACCTATCATGCTCATTGCTACCTGTAGATCTTTAGAGGTTCATAGAACGGTGTCTGAGATTCTGTCTATACATAGGGTTGTTTTCTGAATCATACCTATTTCCAGTTCATAGAATCACGATAGAATGGTGCAGGCACATGAGGTTGTGTCCATACGAATGTTGTTCCCCAAGTCCTGTGCCTATTCCGAGATAGGTTCATAGAATAGTGTATAATAATAATAATAATAATAATAATAATAATAATAATAATAGCCTAATAGTCCACTCCAAATTTTATTAAACCGAAACGGAAATTCTTTTTGCCCAATAATCGTGAGGACTGAGGCTGTGTCTGCACGTATGGATGTCTCCCGCACCATACCTGTACTAACTTTTAGAACTTTGAGGGGGTTATTGAATGGTGTGTGGGGTTGTGTCCATACGAAGGTTGTTACCCGATTCATACATCTTCCAACCTGTAGATCTCTGAAAGGTTCTTATAATCAATGTGTGTGGCTGTGTTCATGCCAATATTGTTTTCCGATTTCTTCCTATTCCTACCTGTAGATCCCATAGAGTTTCATAGAATGATGTATGGTATATTGTCTATACGTAGGTTGTTCCCAGTTTTATACTTAGATTACAGAGAGGTAGATGCAGAATTGTTTTCTCTATTAGGTAAGGTACACCATACCGCTTTGTAGGGAGGGGGGGGGGGTGGAGCAAACACCGGTTGAGTAACCCATCCCGCCACCGCCCCATCGAACAGTGCCAATGGCCATTGTCTCTATCTTTTAAATACGCCTATGGCTATGTACAGTTAACAAATAAATTATTAATATCCTTACCAAGTATTTGTAATTTTTGAAGTATGTGAAATACTGAATTGTCCCGACTTATGTGTCTTGAGAATGTGACATATCAAAGATAACATCTAAAAGGCTGTAATTTTACCATGCAGTTCAGCATTCTTGATTTACGGTACACACAAAACGCATCAAATTTAAAAGGGGTATAATTAATTTTAGTTGTAAACTGTATATATGGTACTCTTCAAGTTCAAGATTGTCTTCCAGACGATGTGACAAAGATGGCCATTGTGTGTCATCGAGGGACCACCCATCTTCCTTCCTTCCTTCCCGTCTATTGTCTTAGCTTTGACAATTATTTTCGGACTATCTGAATTTGAAGGGATAAGTGCCCTATGACAGAGGGGATGTAGTTAATCTCTCTCTGTCTCTCCTGGCAAATGCCATCATAGTGGTAGTACTTTGTTGTACTGACATATCTGACAAACAGGTCACAACTGAACTTGTTCGTTGCAATATAAAGAAATATTTTAATGCAAATTAAGGGTAGACCTAATTCAAGTTTTAAGAAGTCTGCAGGAACAATATGACACTTCAACACAATTCGATAAAGCATTGGGCCAAGCTTAGATTAGGAGCAGCGTTAGAAGAGAGCCTTTATGGTGTGGGGTAGACCGCACGTATATAATAGGTACACCTGTTGGGTAATAATAATTGCAGGGATCCCCAGTAGTAGTGATAATGACTACAATAATAATAGTAGTAATATTGATATTAATAACTACGATAATTATAATGATGATAATGATAATAAATATAAAAATAATATTAGTAATAGTAATAACAACAAGATAATTTTAAAGAGACGCCGAACTCACTTGAACTCAAATGCTCAAGGCGCAGTGGTGCGAAAGATGAAATTACACAAAAGCATCTGCATTAAACACAAAAGAACAACCGGAGTATTAAATACTAAACTGAAAGACAACGATTGATGATATTGAATTGAATTTATTCACCACTTTCATAAAAAACATACAAAGGCAAAGAATACAATAGTTTCTTGCAAACATAGATAAACCACTAAAATGGAAAATACACAAAAGGAAATTACGAAGTGGTTGGATCATCAGATAGATCAGGTAGATGATCCTAAAAATGTACAAACAAAAAACAAAAAAGGGGACAAAGAAAATACAATACTACAATGGTAATTACACACATCAAATTGCGTTTGTCAAATTCAAATTTTCTGTATCAGGTGAAGTGTTAGATGATGCTTAAAACTGTTTAAAGATGCAAACTGTTTAAGTTTAGGAGGTAGTTTGTTCCAAATAGTGGGTCCTTGGCATAAAAAGATACTATTTGGAAATGAAGAATGACCATTTATTACACGAGTGTCTGCTGAAGTCCTGCCAAATTAAAACAGACACGTGATAAACAGATACTGATGTTGCTCCCCTTGGTAAATACAATCAAACTAATAATAACTCACTTACTCATTTGACGTATTTTGGAATGATAACTTTCAACCATTTTTTTCCTTCTAACTCTCTACAGCACAAGGTGCAGTAATCATTAATACGAAGCCAGGTAATGGTCCCTTTCAGATAGGAGCAAACATCAAACTAACTTGCAGAGATACATCCACAGTGGTCGATTCATCCTCCTTTACATGGTATCATAATGAACTCCAGATGGTAGACAGTGGGGTAAGTAACCTTTATCCATCCACATTTTCTTTTCTTTCTGTGAAATTCATGAATTTTATTTGTTCTTACTGTTCAAAACACATATTCATATACACATGTTCATAAACATAGATTAACTAATATTACTTATATTACATGTAAAGTATCTATTGTGTATATACCTTTTTTTGGATACATAAATGCATTGTATCGTGAATCTATTTTTAATTTAATTGTAAATTGTCACGTAATTCAGCTGAGGCTGCGACATGCTAATAAAACAAACTGAACTGAAAACAATAAAATATTGTTACAATAATTATTAACCTTTAATCTTGATATATCGATGAGCTTTAAAAGGTAGACATAGGGGTGACCAGATAACATATACGTTTGGATCGTTAATAGTGAGAGAAGAAAGGCCCAATCAAATTAATCATGTTAAAGGTAAAGACCAGTATTGGAAACGCCCCAATTTCAAAAAATGAAATGGAAGCTCTCATTACCAATCATGTGAAAGAATATGTTTTGACTAATACATGATGATAACAAATTTGCCGGGAAACCGCCTACTAATTCATATATTTGGTTATTTTTTTTCTCTCATGGTCTGTGAGAGATATAGGGTAGTCCCATATACATCTTTCTGTGTATAGTGCTTGCAACTTTACGAAGAATGGGCCAAATTTCTAAATGAGTACAACTGATTTATAAACAATTTTAATATCCATGGCAATTTCTTAGTGGCTGAAGAAGAAACAGAAAGAAAAAACATTATACAAAAGAAAAAAAATTGAAGAAATAGTACCCGAGTGTATAAGAATCGCAGTGAGCACAAAATGAGTCTCATAGGGGATAATGGGAGGTTACGATAAGCATGAGTACTATACTGTCATCCAATATCAATTGATATTTATCAGGTTTTTTTTTTTACTTACCTTTCTCGCATAAGTTTATGAAGGGGTAAAACCTGCGAAAGGCTTATTTACCCCTGATTTTGATTTGTTACTATCGCAGGTAAAGACGAAAAAGGCAGAAGCGATAGAGCGATACTCCATTGACACTTCTGTTCCTGGTCAGTTCACGCTGGAGATCTCAAATGCACATGTCGATGTGCCTAAAGAAATCCTAAAACAAATTAATGATGTTTATGAACAAATTTTCTTTCGATGACATAATATTGGTTGAATAATTGTGCTGTGTTAATTGAGTGTTAAGGAGTAAAGCCTGTGAAAAACGCATTTCCCCCCTCTGATTTTGATTTGTTTCTATTGCAGGTTAAGACGAAAAAGGCAGAAGCGATAGAGCGATACTCCATCGACATCTCAGTTCGGGGTCAGTTCACCCTGGAGATTACCAATGCACATGTAGATGACGCAGGACCTTGGAAATGTAAAATACAGACCAATGGCGTTACCACACAAGCGATAGCACAATTACGCATTGGTGGTAAGTTTATCATAATGTTTTAATCAAATTTTTTCAATCTACTAAGTATTAACAAGTTCAGCTACATGGGGATAGACTTTGAAAAAAAGTTTCCTTTAAGGGGGTATCTCACTGAGCGGCGAATGCTTGCAGATATAGCGAGTTGGGGTTTCGCCAGGGTTCGTAAAAGGTCCTAAAAAAGAAATAAATAGTAGCAAAGGATTGGCAAATAGCTGCTAATCTTCGGTAATACTGTCGCTAACATTTGCTAACAGTCGCTAATAGTCGCCAACTGCAAAAATTCGCAACGTTCGTTAGCATTCACCGCTCAGTGAGATACCCCCTTTATGGATTGTGTTTAGGTGTGTTATATTGAAGTGATGCATTACCAGATGGTGTAAACATTAATCGGCAATAATCGGGTGAAAAGCGTTTGCGACTTTTCCTCCTAGCATAGAAGGTCCATACTCCTTCAATGCATGTAAGTATCAGGCGAAACATTTGTAAGAGGGAAGTGGTTGTTTGTAAGGTATACATTGTCTTAAAAATACATCAAGGAAGTTTTGTTTAATTTACAGGGGGTTTATAGGTATTTGGGATAATTGAGTCTTTGGCAGGGTTGCTTTACCTTCGAAATACGAGATCGCAGTACTGGTGTAAGGCTCGTAACTTATAGGCATACACAAGTTTTGCGATTATTCTGAATGATATAGCGGCAAAAACACATATGCTTTCAAATAAAACTAATGCATTCTATCAAACCGATAACTAATATTAGAACTTTATCGTTTGTTTGATTGTTTGTTAGTTAGCGTTTTTGTTTCCTTGTTTGTTTCAGGACAAATTAATGTGAAGTTAGAAATATAGCCTGCATGAAACTGTTATGATCTGGATTGTAAGAAATAAAGGGAGAGTAAAAAACAACAACTTGAAAATGGCAAATGTTTCCCTGATAGAACAGGCTTAACATAAGCATTTTTTAAGGGGGAATGGGGTCGCCCACTCTATCTCATTATGAAAACGAGTGTAAAAATAATGCTTAAAATGGCATAGCATAGTAATGACACATAGTACACAATTTATTTATTAGTTCTCTAAGAGAAGAGGGTGGAGAATGACGGGTGGGAGGGAGTTACCCCCTCTATTTCATTACAGGAAGGTCTACATTCACGAGGGTGAGGTAACATGTTATGGATAAGAGCAAACGTGTTCCCTAGCTGCTTACGTACTACCGGTCTTTCTGAATCGTGTGCCAAGGGGAGAGCGCCAGACACGTTTCGAAATCTGTCCCCTGTTTGGTTGTTAAGTTAAGTGCCTGGAGCTAAAAGGAAAAGCACGGAGAAAAGAAAGATAAAGATCAGAATGAAACCCTGGGATACTAGACTAGAACATAACCACAATGCAATATACACGCTAGATACAGCGAACAACTATGCAAGCGATAGTCATAGGCCATAATAATGTATTTAAGTTTATACACGCTATCTAGCAGAGAATGTTTACATTCCCTAGTATCTGACTACATCTGACTACATATTAGTCGTCAGTATGCAACTTGAAAATAGTCGTTGCTAAGTCGGACAAACATTGTGGCTTGACCTACCTAACAACACTTAATGTATGAACTAAGTCTCGGGACTGGGAACCACGAGCTACCGGGTTCGAATCTCGCCGCATATTTGGCAAGACATTAATCTGCATTTGCCACGATCCACCCAGTTGTAGTAAATGGGTACCTGGTATGATTTAGTCCTTGAATACAGTAAGCGCTATGGGCGGGATAATACTATGTGAAGTCCTTTGGAAGCGTACACAGATGTTACATCATAATGTGTTATGCGCTATACCAGAAAAGCACATTATTATTCTCATTATGAGGAAGAAACGGAGGCCCTTATCCATATGCACGGATCAATGTTGACTAGGATATATACCAAAATTGTAACAGGTAAGGCGCTTTAATCCGTGCCCTTAAACCTTTCCCTTCACAGATCATCCATGATACTGGTAGATTAAGAGAAGGTTTAATGATGAATGTTTGTAGCTGGTGAATCACATTGTAGGTCATGATGACATCTTAAGGGATCTCATGCAAAGTGGTATTCGATTCATTCCGTGACACATCGTTGCTACACGTCATACGTTTGCTCATGGAATGTATTTCATGTGAGATTAAGAAGATCCCTATTTGACAGGAGATTAACGAATGACCCCGTAGAGGTCGGTCAAGTAGAGGCAATCTCGAAGGCTGAATGGTTTATTCTACACTTTTGGATTGCAGGAAATAGCAAGTACCACAATTAGAAGACACATAGAAGTAGCGATACTTTGATGATATGTCGTGATAACGAGAGTGATTCTGTACCCTTGCTCAGTCAAATAGAAAAATACATGGTAATGATTTCATGACACGCCACAGTACGTGTGTATGTGTAATATCTGGGGACCAAATTTTAACGTCACCATCCGAAAGACGTCACGTATTTTGTTCGTCACGACAATGTGAAGACAGGAAAGAAGTTTTAGGTGTATATATTTCAAATAAAGAAATACTGTATTACATAGAAATACACTATGTTTAGTGTATTTATTTACAACAGATGGTACTTCCTTTTAATGCATGTATCATGTTCTTGTTGCTCAAAAGGGTAACATTTTAGTAATAATGAATATTGATGGATGAAGCATTGTTCATTTATTACAATATTTATTATTCTTAATTCCAAACACGACCTTTTCCAGAGTGTACTTTGATTGTTAAGCCAGAATTCAGACATAATGTTTGATATACAGTGCTGGATAGAATGATCGTGATTAACTAATCCCCTCGCATCAAAGTTTTAGAGATGAAATAAAACTGATTCAGCTGCTAGTGTAGACTTTGAAGGTTATTATGAGGATGTAATAACACACCACGGGAAATCCGCAAAAACAAGGGAAACCAACGATGCATTGTAAATTGATGAAATGCATGACAAAGTAGGGGAAAACCCTCAATTAATTATTGCTTAGTAAATAAATTTCAGGGTGTTGCATCAATTTATACGAAACTTGATAATTGCGCGTTTGTAACATTTGTGAGATAATCATTACCACATTTACCAAACATGAAATAGAAATACAACCATGCAGGTAATTTTTGTAAATTCCTAACAAAATTAGTGTCAGAGAATAGCCAGTGGATTAGGCTAGGCACGTCGACGAACTCTAAGTAATTGAAACAAATCATACATCTATAATATGAAATTGTAAATATATGCATGACATTTTTTGGGACGGTTGAAGTTTTATGAAATCAAAAAATAAATCATATATCATAGGCGCTATTAATCATTTTTTTTCTTCATTTTTGTTACAGCCCCAGCCATTGCATACATGACACCTACAATCGCCACCACAATCGGTTCTACGGTTCGGTTAGAATGTAACGCAACTGGAGATCCGGAGCCGGCTATCTCTTGGAGGAGGTCAAATCCGGGTCAGCTTCTTCCCAGCGGTCGTCGGGTATCGGTAGGACCGGTGCTGTCAGTAACAGTTTCATCGATATCAGATGGAGGAAGGTTCGTCTGTGATGCTAGGAACTCGTTAGCGGTCATCTCAAAACCAATGAGCTTGAATGTGAAACGTAAGTACCCTATGACGAAGGAGTTGCTATGACGTACAAAACCAAACAATATAAGGGGAATATGCTCTTTTCTAGAAATTAACCCACTATGATGGGTTTCCTACTGTCATGTTTTCATATTCCATCAATCATTTCCATGTAATCGCTACGGGTCAAACAGCAGTAAGTAAAAAGCTTGCAATTTGCTTTTTGAAAAAATATTTTAGGCCGTGCGCTTCAAGACGGCTGACGGCCTTTTACATCTAATCAACATTCATGAAGAAAAAGGAAGCTTAATGCGTTTTAAAGAAATGTTTATTGTAAATAAAGTCTCATGCATCGCCACCCTTTTCCTCACATACACACAATCGTGCGCACACACACATATACACACGCACACACGCACACACACACACACACACACACACCCCTATATCTCTATTGTCGTTCAAAAAAGTTATTTTCTGGTTTCGTAATTAATGAATTTGTCTTGTTGCATGGCGCGGTTGGTTACTCGTATTATTTTCAAATTATTTCCCACAGAGAGTTTAACGATCATCCCTATGTCGCATTATGCATTTTATGAAAATCTGAGAAATATAAGCCAAACATTCATCGTAAAGCCACTGTGTAATAATCTGTAGAAAGATATTATCTCATCATCTTGAAACTGAAACCGAAGTATTAATTCCCTCTTGTATCAAACCTCAGATTTTCTTTTCAATGATAACTTTACTTTGCAGTCACGTACATATAGAAAGGGATCTTGTAGTAATAAGATCATCAAATTAAAAGCCTTCATCACAATTAATATGATTTCCATGACTGCTGTATCATTGTCACGTAGGGCAGTTAAAACAATGTAATTCGATTGGATTCCGACCAGTAGCCGGGTTAGTATAAGATTTCTTGTCATCTCGTGATTGCATCTACATGTCGTCTTGATATCACATTTAATACCCAAGAGTAGTCACAAAAAGATGAAAAAAGTAATAGTAAAATAATATAATGACATTAACCCATTGTCAACGGGAACCGAGTGACTCCTGTATTAAGTCTATGGGAATGAGAGAAGTTAGGAGTCTACAGGTTAAAGGGGGAGAGAGATACAAAAGAGACAAAACATTGAAGAAGAGGATGATTATCATCATAATAGTCACGATTTTGAAGAAGGAGGAGGAAATTAGAAGGAAAAAAGCAAAAGAAAAGAAGTTCAAGAATGAATATTATTAATACCTTCAAATGACAATGAAGAAGATGATGATAGTGATGATAATGATGATAACAATAATAATAATGATAAGCAGAACAATATGAAGAAGAAGAGAACAACAAACAGGAGGAGGAGGAAGGAGGGGGGGGGGGGGACATTTTCAAAGGGTGTAATTAACGTATTTAAAGCAGTTAACGTTTTGTCAAATGTATTGTTGCATTATTGTCCTTTTAAATGTCGCTTCCTCCTTACACTTCCCTCCATTATGACAAGGATTGTATAGAAAAGTGAAGGTAGCAATATATGCCGGTTCAAATGTAATGCGCTTTTGTAGTCATTTTGTTCGAGTCAATATTGGTGATTGTTCAATAAAGTTTGATTGCTGCTTTCAATATCTTATTACAAAAAACCTGTTCCTCAAATACTACAATGTAATCAATTTTAGGACAATAATTTATCCAAATATAAATATTTCGGTCCTCTTCCTTGAAAGAAGGGGAATTCTATCGCAGTAGATTTCTGGTTCTAGTACTTCTTGAAAAAAAGTTTCTCTTGACAAATGAAAAGCTTGTCTGATGCTTGCCTGGCATAACAACAATTATTGTATGCACAGTGAATTATATCCATATAGATACCATGGTGTATAGCAGATCAATTTAATAGTTGCTAACCACGAGTTCGGGAGAGAATCATGCATGAATAGACCTGTTAACTAAATTTACGGACACTTTTTGAAGAAGGTTTCTCTTTACGACTCGAAAGCTTGCTAGAGGCTGGACAGGCAGCAAAATCTAATATATTTCATTTCATTTCATTTCATTTCATTTCTTTATTGAGTCCATATAGGATAATTGTTTATATGCACATGAACAATCTTGCTTCAACATATAAATGAACATAGGAACAACTTGCCTGGCATAGCAACATATGCAAAGTGGATTCCATCTGCCATGTCTTTATATATGCTACTGTGTATAGCAGGTGACTTAAATAGATTGTAATCAGGGCCGGATTCTGGAAAGAAACATGCATAAATTGAAATACATTTATAGTAAACAGGCGGGTAAACAGGTCACAGGTCTATTGAAAAGATAACGCTTCCTGGAGCAATTAACTCCAAATGTAAAACAATTGACCTACACAGTGTCTCACAAGACAAAAACTCCCATGACTCTAGACCACCAGCTGTTTACAGGCCGCCCTTGCATCCAGAGCGTAAGGAAATCAAGCAATTAGTACAGGAAACATACAATGTGATCGCTTCGCGAGCGACACGTTGAGCCGCATTCACATGTGACGAGAGAAACCGCCTCAAATGGCCAAAATACAACCATTTGGCTTTTCAACGGTCAAGTTTCTTGTAAAATTCTGGCAGGTATAAGTTTAAAAAGTCTCCGCGCTCAACAAGGCCATCATAGTTTTAAGCGATCATTTTTGCCTACCGATTTGAAAAACATAATTTAATCAGGTTCAATTTATATTCAAGGTCTATCTGATGTCATTTTTAAATCATTGATATTCATGTAAAATCTCTGGACAAAAATCTCTAAAAACCCGAAGAAATTTGCCCTATTCTGGCAGAACCCATGTTCTAAGTATTTGTCGTTTATCTTGATTATCTTGAGTTAATATCACGAAGTAAGGAAGCATGCGTCACGGTGTGGGACAGGCGTACTCCACCCTCCGTCTGTGGTCTATCTTGTTCTGATTTCCTTGAGCCCCTTTCGTGGGTGTTAGGGACTCTCTTACAACCTGTAGTACTGTCTGGCTGGTATTAAGTTGATATTAAGTGCTTATGACAGGGAGGTTTGAACGATTTTTCAAAACTAGCTTCAACATGCTCATCATGTCAATACAGGGGGGGGGGGGCGTGTGGTATCGGCTTCGTATTATATTGACAAAAACTCATGCATCTTGACTTGTAATGCGATGAACAAAATTGAAAATCATCGCATTTTTGTTGAGCATATTAAGAGTCATATAAATAGTACCATCGTTTACCCCATGGTCATGGTGATTAATAATTACAATAATAAGGATACGCCCCCCCCCCCCGACTTTGAAATTACCAACGTTGAAATCACCTCAGATTCGGGCAACTGTCACCTCATAACTTTTAATATGCAAAAAAAAAATAACATGTTCGGGCAATAATGGCAATGGTCAGTACTAATCCCCCTTTCATAATGTACTAGTTCGCCGAAATTATTAGTCAAAAAGTCAATCCGTAAATTGTGTTTTGTACATGAAGCGTCAACAGCTGGCTTAGGGCTGCGTTAGCCACTGGCGCGGTGTTCCTTACGCTGTGTGAGACTGACGTAAAGGAAAAGGAAAGAAATGAGTAGTTTATTGCATTCCCCTCCCCCTACGAGCACTTGAGTGAGTCGCTAAGGTAATAACGCAATCAGGTAGACGCCTCGTGTGCAACGAGCATAATGATTATTTTTTTGTGGGTACAATAACAATTTCTGGTCTTCTTTATTTCCTCATAATAATATTTACATCTTCACATTTTCAGCATTTGCCTCAATTTCTAAAGAGATATACAAGGCTTTCTACGTGAAATATTTTCTTCTATGTGTAAACGATAATTTAAGAGGTAAAACAAAATATGAAGAGGGCTCTTTATTGTTTATAATGACGATTATAACGATTATAATGATGGTTACTGTGTTTTTCTTTCTTTAATTTACACTTCGTCATCATTCGCAGTAGAGAGTTATGCAATGATTCGTAATTGTAGTTCTACAAGTCATTGTCTGTCAACGATGTTTCCTTTATGCAGCCACGCGGGTCACATCGATATTCATATGTTCTATATATAGTTGATAGTCTATATGAAGATGATTATTTTTAGCAAACACAATCGGGGGTATTTAATGACGCCGCTTCCACCGTACATCAAGGACAACGAACTTCGTTGCGCGTATAAATATTTGTCTACAATTATTATTCTATTTAAGTGATTTTTGTTGCATGTTTTATTAAGCAGGACAGCAGATGGCTTAGAAATTTCTTTCACCCTATTCTCCTGTCCTTTCCACAATATGCAGTCAATAAATGTTAAAAGTCCCTTTTTATGGATTTTTGTGAATCACAAATATATACAGGTGAAATAATGGAACCTTTCATGTGTAGTCATGATTATGTAAGATAGAGGAACGCCATGGTTCAGTGGTAGAGCAGTAGTCTCGCAACCAGGAGGTCTCGGGTTCAAAACCAAGTCAATGCGCTCGTGCCCTTTGGTAAGGCACCAATCCTCATTACCAAGTCACTCGGAGAGGACAGACAGCCGTCAGTCTCTTGGTTGTTTACTCACAGGTATATACATAATTTCAAAACAGTCAGGTCAAACAATCATCGATCATCATAGCTAAAGAAGTTAAAACCATGACAGATAATTGCCATTTCTCCGTTCATATACCCAACAGATGCACCATTCCTGCAGACGGATCGTTCAGACGCACATGTGTACGCCTACCACTCTCGGATGGTGAACATGACATGTGCATGGAGTGGTTTCCCGCCACCTTTCATCACGTGGACAATAAATGGGAGATCGGTCACGAGAAGAGCTAGTCGACAATACCAAGATGGTGTTAGCACCTTATCGGTAAGCACCTGTTAATAACAGCATTTCAACTACAACAATAGACACACACACAAACTTACACTAGACCTTCTCGGGATCAAGGATTACACCAGAGTGCTCACCAAAGTCTTACCCGTGTGCGGTTCTAAAAGACCTTTCTTTTGGAGGATGGGGGAGCTCGTGGGTTCTTGCATTAATAAAACAAAAATAGTGGTGTCTATTCTCCAAAATAGCTTTACAAGTGCTACTTCGTCTGAATTCTCCTATTATTCGGAGTGGATCCAACTCCTGAAAAAGAGACTCCTATGTGGCTCCCGAAAGATTGGATTCTACACCTATCCATTCAAATTAGACATGTTTTATCATGAATACCTAACACATTATTTTTACCCCCAATTTCATCAACTACAAGGCAACGACAAAAGGTGCACGGTATGTATACTATTATTCCCCTGCCGTGACAAAGTTTGGGGCCATATGTTTTCCTCTGGACAGCACAGGTATCTTGTCTTGTCCTGTGTATTGTATTTTTAGCTCGTCTAATTGTTAGTATCCTGGTCATTGCTGTTATGACTGGTCATTCCCGAGTGGTTAAACCTTCTGGCCTTCAGTTATACATGCCCAGTTAGCACATGGTACATGACCCCCAGATAGATCTTTTAAAGATAGAGACGTCCCAGTTTGTGCATTTTAGAATAATCAGTACCAAATTTAATCGATGTGCTTCATGAATACCTTTTGGTTGCACTTTTGAGAAGAATACTCCACATGTGTTTCATAAAATGTACCGTCGGCATGGTCGGTGCAAAAATGGTAATAGGGAGTAAATTGCATTGAGCAGGTCACTCTGGTCTTCTCTTCTTCTTCTCGTGTTTGAGCCAAATCGTCCTTTACGCATTTCTTCTGAATCATGAATGATATTTCGGTCGTTAGTAGGCCTATACTTTCTATAAGTTTCATAACAATAGTGAAGATTCAGTTCTTGTTCATGATTTAACGTCTTTAATAACATAACACTCCTTCCAAGGGAGGATATTAATTACATTGCACACTGTCGTAACGTAGCGCTCAGTGTTTTCAAGTGGTATATCCTACCAAGTACCCACTTACCTGCGTCGGGTGAGGCAAATAAAGATTAAATGACAAATGTAGATATATATATATATATATATATATAGGCCTAATGAAGCATTGATCTTGTGATGTTGTTCATGCAGATAACGCCCCAAGGCAGAGACTTCGGGACCTACAGGTGTCATGCGTCGAATAAACTGGGAAGGAGCCAACACGCCATTGTCCTTTCAAGAGCAGGTATGTACGAACATGACGCAGCGGAGGTCCAGGTATAATAATAATAATAAGTGTAATTTTATACGAGATTTGTGAGGCGCAGAATCCACTTCAAAATCAAATGCCCCAGGAAAGCTTGTGAAAATAGTAATAATATTGCTCAAGGCGCTCCACCTATTAACCCGGCTCTGCTAGGCAGCCGAATTCGGCGCTCACAGCATTCAAGGAATTCCTTTCTACCGGTACCCATTTAACACCTGGGGCAGACGTAACTTAATATCTTGCCAAAGGACATTAGTGCCGTGGCGGAACTCGAACCGCGGACCCTGTGATCCACAGTCCAACATCACAAAAGCGAAACAGAAAGAAAGGAAAGAGGTCGCTTCATAAAAACAACTGCATTATGAACACAGGAAGAGAAGGAAGATAGAACATACACAAATGACCGAACAATTAATTATATATATGCCGAATTTAACAGATACGTTTTAAGAATATTTGTAAACACTTTAACTGATCTGCTATTACGAATCCCTCAGGGAGCGCATTCCACAGCGACGGCCCTGCATGCGCAAAGGTTTTTGGACAGAATGTAATTATCTCAAGTGATATGTTACTATGGAGCAGAGCAAAGTATAATGGGGGCAGGGGACTCAAGCATCATTAAAGAGTGGGGGCACCGGTCTCATTGCGTAACTGATTAAATGACTTTAAAAGGCCGTCGAAAAGGAGAAGCAGGTTTTTAGGAGAGATCCTATCGTCGACTGCCTGCATGAAAGCCATAACTGCTAATAGTTAAGCCATTTTCTGACCTGTTCTTTAATAACAAGATCGAGTATGCGATCTATATTCCTGGATGCAAGCCGACATTTCTTTGCAAATTGAAATTACTCTCAGGAAGCCTAACATTCCATGGCCGTTGGGGCTGCATAGCCACACGGCCTTCTTGCGGTCTAGCTGACTCTATCTTCTTCTTCGCACGTTCCCTCTTTTTTCTCTAGTTTTGTTATATTCCATTGTTCCCTTAATTGTCACCTTTCTCCATTTTCCCCCATTCCATTTCCATGGGAGTGCCCCCGTGTCCCTTTAGCTACGCCCTCGAAGGACATCATTCTATGGCCCCTTGCCAGTAGTACATGGAAATTATTGTTCACCGTCCATTGCCCTCGGCTTGTGACGTAACAAAGAGAGTTTTGCAGAGTTGTCAATCCATAGTAATTATTGTGTGAGAAGGGAGGTACATGTAGATGCCCCGAATTTCATTTCTTTCTTTTTATCCGTTTTTCTTCATGTATTCATTCATTCATGCATGTTTTTTGAATTCATGTATTTTCAATTATCAATGTTTTTATCCATACATTAATTTATTAATTTATCAATTCATTTATTTAGTTACGTTTTCATCTATTTATTCATCAACTTACTTTGTTAGTTCTTATTTTCCATTAGGCACTGCCATTTAAGCCAACAAAATATATTTTAGTGGACTACTTTCTAAAGAACCCCTATAACTACGTGCAGTATGAAGTCTGATGAAAGAGGGAGAGAGAGAGAAAGGGAGGGAGGCATAGAGAGAGAGAGAGGGGAGAGAAGAGAGAGAGAGAGAGAGAGAGAGAGAGAGAGAATGAAACTAACGTTAGAAAGTCTAATTTTTTCCAAATGTCTAAGAAGCTAAGACAAACTAATTGCCTTCTTCTTTCGTATCTATTATCCTTGTTTGAATTATGTTCAACCAACTTATTCTGAATAGAAACTCTTTCCCCTTGTGTTACCGCTAGATTATCCAGCTCATACACGCAAGTAGATGTGGATTGTAGATCTGGGACCTGTTTCACAAAGCCTCTTTTCAATGACAAATGACAAAAACCAGTGACAAATCTGCCGATAACCAATCAGAAGCAAGGATTTCAGTAGCTTATAACAAAATCTGTTATTTGTCACTGATGACAAGTATAGTGAAACGTCCCCCTGATATAGATATGAGTCTGCATAACATAAGGAACACGATTGGACATTATACTGTATTGGAAACCGGCCCTTCCACCTTTTTGCAGAAAGATACTTAAGAGAATGAACATGATCAGTGAGTGATGCTCCCTTAGGAACCTGCCTGTATCCTACATGTACTAAATATAACATGTAATGTAGTCTGTCAGCTACTTGAAAGATATTCACAACATGTACAAAAAGCTCCTAACTCTTAACAGAAAGTAAAGGATGCAGTATACTTCACATGAACTCACATGAGACATGTTTAAAGCGCTGATGTGCAAGTCCCAGACACATCTTTCTGATAGCTATCCTTGTTAATAATGATAAGTCAAATTATTTACCTAACAAGAGGTTTAAGAAAGATTTGCTAAGCATAAACCCTTTCACAAAATATTGACGACATAAATGTTCGGGCCATAGGTCATTACCATTGGAAGCGTCATAAACCACATTCCTACAAATCTAAAACCATAGTCACACCGTCAAAAGGACTCCACACCTACCGATTGTTGCTCATTCGACCTTGTTCTGGGTTGGAGGGTTGTTATCATTGATGTGCTCGAGATATGAGCCATGTTGATAAAAATATGGATATTTTATAGCGCCGGTATCCACCAGGCTCTGCCGCTAATGGCGCTGCACATATTACAATCACGAACATATACTTTTCTTAATATAAGTACAGTGATGATGAATTGTTTTACAGAATTTAAAAGTAATAATGAGAAATATTTTTTGTTTTCAGATCCACCTCCCGTTCCCCGGCATGTTCGGCCTGGTATGATAACAGACACCACTATTCAGATCTTACTCGATCCCCCTCACGTGACAGCCCGGGGATTCCCCCTCCTATACTATCAGGTGACCTATCACCCAGTCATGATGGGCAATCTACGTCAGAGTCGTCCAGCTCAGTTCCTACTAAATGAGGTCCAGGAGGAAGAAGGACCAGCCCTGATCAGGCAGGACTTCCCACAGGAAAGGCAGCTTTACGAGACTGGGAATGGGGTCCAGGACCAGGCTGGGCCACTCGACCAGATCCAACAACCTTATGTGTCACCCCAGGTGCAAGTTAGACGATTTGATATTGGTAAGAATTGTAATATTGGACCGGTTTCATTTAAAAAGGAAATGTATCTCCCGGTTTTAATAGTAGGTGGATTAAGCTTTTATTCTTGATTTCTCCTGGCAAAACACTTTTCTGACTGTAACCATCAATAGCCAACAGTCAACAAATTGCCCATCAATTTACCAAATTTTATTACCCAAGTTTGAAATAATCATTCAAGGAACTTTAACAAAATAATTTAACAACTGGTGTTTATAATTTTTTGTGGCATGAATTTGCGACAGGAGCTTTTTTTAGAAGAGCATGCTTTTACTGTATGTTTGGGGCAGTGAATATAACTGTCCGATATATCAACAACAAAAAAGGTTAACTTTTTACACCTGGAAAGTCATGCTTCATTCTGATATTTTCCTGACGCTCCTTTGTATTTTTTTGTCTCTAGGAAACAGCTTGGTCCTGACTCATCTTCGGCCCCTTACGACCTACCTCATCCGAATATCCGCTGGCAATGCTGCCGGTCATGGTAACTTCTCCGAGCTACGAATCGCTACAGGTATGTAAATACTGCAGTAAACGACTTACTATCCCCATGTTGCCACTGATTCCGTGAAGTGTATACTGTACTGATTGTGTCGATTTTGTCAATTACGCAATTGAAATGTTGAATGTGACCTGTCATAAAGCTGTTAGTAAGTTACACATGACTTTACGAATGACTTAAATATGAAATGCCAAATGGGATGCTCAATCATTTTTAACTGCATCAACTAAAGTTGAACTGTGCAGATGTAGATTAGCATTCGTACCATAACAAACATTTTTAATGAAAGTACATTTTTTTGCCATAATATAATTGAGATTATTGGAAATATAGTCACACTTTGTTAAAACATCAGGAGAAAATTTGGGCTTCCTATCTGGCAATTCATATTCAAGTCGTTAGTACAGTCATGTAAAACTTTACGAACAGCTTTATGAAACACCCCCCCCCCCTGCTTTCATATATTTTCATTAGTAAACCCTTACTGTTCAGATCCTTGTAAATTGTAATTGAGTTCGAGTAGAATCCAATGTGAAACTGTGTTTGTTTCTTGAATAACATTTGACGTGACAGAAATTATAACTTGGAAACGTAAGATGCATGCATGCCTGATAGATAATCCTCCTTTCTAACCACTAGCACTCCTAATAAACTGATATAAAAATAAGTTTCTTGTCTATTTGGCAGCACAATTTTGCCATCGAACAGTGCGCCCTCCACATTTTGATATTAATCTAGCAAATTCTGTATACAAAAGAAAATGTGCTAAATCATATATTTGAAAAAAGATGTCTGTACCCATTTTTGTGAATATGAAGAAAAATTTGGTAACATTTGAATATGGTCAAATTCTGTAGAGAAAAAAAACAACGTGCGATAATTAACAAATTACATTAAAAGAATTTGTTGCAAAAAAACACATGCCACACAATCACAGAAGTAATATTCGCGCAACTTATTTACATAATAATTTATAATTACCTATTTCTGCAAAATATTTTTAGGTCTCAATATCTATTTCTTCTTACACTAATGTTTTCATTGATACTTTTTGCTAATTCTCAGGTAAAACCTTTATTTTTTTTTTACGGGATAATCTTTTTTGACCATGGGAAACCGAGAATTTGACAAAAGAAGTCTTTGGATTTATCATTATCATCATCATCACTATTATCATCGTTATCATCATTGTTATGATGATGATACTGATTATGATGATGCTGATGCTGATTATGAATTATTCGAGGTTCCAAAAATACAATACAATGAAGACATGAGATGTTCATTTATCAGATGTAAAGTAATAAACAAATTATCAGCTTGAGAATATTTCCCTTGGTAACAGACATCATGTAGCGGATATACTGGACTGTGATGACTGACTGTATTTGCTAGCAATTGTTTAGCACTAGATAAAAAATTTGATATCAAATGCTATGGCAGAATTTATATCAAAAAGTTGTATGGAAATAGTATATAGATAGACAAGCGGTAGATACGATTGCATGCGTACCGTATATGTTGTTTAGAATTCTAATTTATTGACGATTAGTTGTTTGCATCTCTTTTTGTCGTTTCTTGTAGCTCCATCGCATACCGTAGTTCGGGCATCGAACCTTTCTAATCCCCTAGCCGTACCCCTCCTCTCGACTGGTATACAACATTACTCATTTTGCATCAACATGTACATCAATTAACTACTATCATTGAAAAAAAGAAGATCTGAATAGTATTCCAAATGCTAGCAAAAATAGTAGGAATTGACACTACAGTCACCACGCTTAAAGCGGATTGATTTCTATTCAACATGATTATAGTTGCTAAATATATTACTCATTGCGGATATAGTATCGAAAATAATATCGCTAGTGACATTCGTCTGTCTCGCAATGTATGGTCAACAAGGGATCTAAAACATGCCTGCTTACAATATATTGTATCACCTGCCGAAGTATAGCAGCGGCACACGAAACGTCGTGATCTTTTAGATCCCCTGTTGACTATACATTTTGGGACAGACGAATGGCACTCGCGATATCATTTTCGATGATTATAGTTATACATCATGCCATTTACTTTTGTTATTTTCCGTAATTGTGTTTCTATTTTACCCGACTTTGATTGAAAAATTAATGGTGATTTAAAAATATCAAGTCGTCGTAAAGAATTGCATTTAAACACCAAAATGACAAATAATATATGAAAATCTTTTCATAAGAAAGGTTACTCTGCAGCAATAATTATTTCTCTTAGTAGGCTTATGGTTGCTTTAACGATATACCGACGTTTTGGCTCTATGAGAAAGATAGTTAACATAATTATCATTTTTGCACATCATTTCCCTTTGCACTTTTGCAGGCATTAACTCTGCACCATTAACAATCATTTTTCTTTATTTCACTTTGATAGCATGAACTAATAAAACCCTTTCTCCATAAATTTACAGCATCTTTACATCATCTCATCTTGTCTACATTCCACTTGAGTCAACTAATTCACCTGACCCTAAAAGCTTGTTTTTGTTTCAGAACATTTTTACATTGTTGAGTATTGTTTGTTCTTTGTTTTGTCCTGTTATTACTGTACATTAATCTGTCTAATAGTCACCCAACTGTCGTCAGTGAAGTTTTGTTCAATTTTGTTTATTATTTTGTACTGTGACTCACTCACACTTACGTGATGAAATATTTCTAGTCTTGGATTCCGAGATGGATATATAATCGGAATCCATTTAGGTTTCAAACAGATTATATTGTCTACATTTAAACGTGTTTGACCAAAAGACGAACAGTCAACGCACAAACGAAAAAGTTACCTTTTCACATTCCCTTCTGTTTATAGATCATGATTTTTTTCCAAATAATGTCAAATTCTACGACCGAAGTAACCGTTTTTCTTCTTTATTTTGAATTCTTTTGACTACTCATGCAAAGTTTGAGTTTTAGATAACGATTCAGGCTTAAACCATCTTTGAAAGTGCAAGCTGCAATAAGTTTTTGTTTTTATTAATCTTCAGCTTTGTCATCAAAGGTTACTGACATCATGTTTAAATATGTATTTCGAATTTTAACTTATATCTGGGACAATTTATCTCTTCATAAAATTTGAATTTCCCCATTTTACAATATGCTTTTGCTCATCTAAATTCTATAGTGATATTGTGTCTACAATTGCCTACGTGAGTTTTTCATTTAATTGTTGATGAGTCTGTGATATATCTTTGTCTTTCATTCTTTTGTTCTCTTTTTCACTTCATTTCATTGAACGCTGACAGTAACGACCTAAAAAGATTAAACCAAGCAAAACATTTAAATCATACCATAAGGACGTGCTTTTGTTTTGAAATACCACGAAGTTATGTCAAACGTGATTTTCATCTATAATCAGGAATAAAGCAATTTTGGATGGAAAATACAAATATAATTACATGATACAAATTATATTTTGGTAACACTAACTGGGATAAACAAGGACGGAATTCGAAACTGTGCGATAAAATTTTCAATAAAAATGAACAAGAATAGAGTGCATAACTTACATATGTTCAAAATAATGATGATAATTATCGATCTTTATGCAGCATCTGGCCAGCAACATCCAGTAAAACCTACATCGTTTCGAACGGCTGGGCCTACACGATCTATGATGACTTCTCCGCTTGCTCCTGCATCATACCCAATGCCTGGTACACACATTAAACTATTTTAATTCCTCGGGATTTATATCTGTTTCATATTTATATGCTATTTTTGAAAGACCAAACATATCAATTTAGGAGGCAAATTAATATGCGGGAGTTTTTATAACGTCTAAATAAAGCACTTTTAAAATAATATTCCTCCGCTGTTAAAGTGATATTACTCCGCTGTTCTTTATCATTCTTTTAGGAGGGAAACATTCTTGACAATAAGTTTTAAAAAGGTCTAAATACAGTAATTTCAAATACTCTATAACTTTTCAAGTTAACCATTTGGCCGCAAAAATAAAGTGACCCTGAACTTTTTAACAATAAAAGAAATATCCGATCATGATTAAGCCTACTTTGATTTATCTTGTTTCATTGTTGAAAACCTATCACTCTAGCCACAAATATCTCCTCGCATCATTTCCATATTATCACCATGAATTGTATTTCTATGCAACAATATAATTTAGTTTTGCTAGCAATATAAGTTTACATGCAAATGTGATAGTAAATAGTCACACATGCTCATACCATTACAGAAATATAGTAATCAATTTATGCAAATTGAAATGCATGTTAATTATGCTATTGCCTTTTAGTAGTAAAGCTTTCTTCAGTAAGGCTTTAGATGGCATTTTAGTTTTAATTTGTTAATATACTCCTGTCCGTCTATTCTGAAGTTATACCTATTTTATCAGTCTTCAGTATGAATTCATCACATTTCTTTTTTAAATGCACCGCCCTCAACGATTCTAGCTAGCACCTCTGGTATTAGTTTACCGGTCACACCCAACATGGACCCCGATGTACGGGCGAGGAACCCCGGTAGGTATGACCCTTTTACCGCGCTACCAACCGTACCGGAGGGAGAGAAGAAGAAGAAGAAAGGGATGTCACCCTTCCCTATCATCGTAGGCGCCATCTTGGCCATGTTTCTCGGCGGTTTGCTGATCTTCTTTGCTTCATCAATGCCGCTACTGAAATGGCAGAAACGGCGCCAGCGAAATCCACCCGACGTGAGTTCCGTTGCCGACTTCTCATAAGTTGGAAATTTGACGAAGGGTTCCTTTCAGTTTTGATATAGAATAACAATAACAGTTGAAAGTCAGTGAAAACAATGCAAATAATTTTACATTATATGATACATTATTTGATCAAAGTAACATAATTCAGAACATGTTGAATGAAATACATTGAGTTCCACACTATGTTTAACTTTAATATATATCTCTGGACTGATATTATTATGTCCTAACCTTTTATATCAATATTTTGTTAAAGTGCTATAAGTATGTATGATATAGTTTTAAATACATTTTTATTGTATCATCGCTCTGATTAGTAGTCTGTAAAAGCGCTTGATAAGAACTAATTATAATTATTAATGTTAAATGCACAATTTGGTTTAGTCTTCGGCTTTTGAGTTGAGTGTTCTGTTCTTATCATGAATTAAAGATGTATCACATTTTATGCAAATAATAACATAATAAAATAACTGTGAAGGCTGAAACATTAGGTAATGTGAATAACCCCTATTCAGCTCATACCATGACTATTTATTAACCATGTCCCGTTCTCATTACAGGAGATGGAAGAGGAACTGTATCGGTTTAGTGGATCCATCTATAGCGAGTCTTCATCCATACAGATGCGTCCTGTCAGTGTAGTGAATGTAAGCAAACAAATATCTTACCCACAAGGTCCGCAGTTCAAGTCCCGCCGTGGCACCAATGTCCATTTGCCATACTCGACCCAGGTGAGGTAAATGGGTACCTGGTAGGAGTATTCCTTGAAATGCACTGTGCGCCGATATCGGTAGCCGGAGCTGAAGCTAAGGGTAATAATCCCGAAGCTCTTTGGAAGCGCATATAGACTAAGTATTATGCACTATACAAGAATGGACTATCATTATTATTAATATAAACACAACAAAATAACTACGTGTGTGTCAGACAATGTACTGTTTGTGTTTACAATTTTCGTCCACTATTTTAGCTGTACATTAAAAGCCAACAAAATTTCGTTTTCATTTCCATTCGCAATTTTGATAACACAATAAGGATCCATTAATATATCTTGGGTGATGATATAAAAAGATAATAAGACGATAAATTAAAACAAAATGCCTCAAAAGCGTAACAAAAACATTACATAGGCCGTTATCGATTCTGTGTCGTGGTCGATTGGTTAAAGGCGCTTGACTGGAGATGCGAAGGTCGAGGGTTCGAATACCGACACAGTGTTTCTCAAAGAATAAGGTCGACTTTAAGTTGGTCTTAATTAACTACGGTAGGCCGTTCAAGCAACTATTTTCTCTCATCATTCACTGGCATTGGCTTCTCAAGGGACGTATCAATCGTGGTCACAAAATGTACACAATTTACCTTTTTTGATAGTTCATTATTGAAAGAAAAAAAATCATATCAAGGTCATAATTGAGAAACCAATGTAAAGAGCAACCTGTGGCATGAATGGCCTGCGAAAGTTAAATCCAATTTACAGTTGATCTTAGTCTTAGTGAAACACCCCTGGTATCTATTTTTAATGATGCATCTTCTGATATTTATTTCCTACTCAAGATGTTATTTGAAGAGTATGAAAACATTTAATAATCGTCGTAGATTACATTTATATATATGCTATGGAAGATCCTAATTGGTATATCATTTAAATTACATAATTATACTATACTTTGTCATAGTTTGCTTTGGTTTCTCTATAATTGATGTTGATAAGTGTATGGTTACTTGTGTTCTTATTCTGACAATTCTTTAGTTCATGAATTAGTAGTTATCTATAATTTTGGTGTTTTATTATTGTAAAGCGCATTCAAATTTTCTCCAAAGATGAAATGCGCAACAGAAGCCTAATTTAATTTAATCATCATCATTATATTTAAATCAAAAATGTGTTAATTATATTTATTTGGCGTATACAAATTTGACACGACCCCACATTGAAATAGAGAAATGATCTTTGTATTTCATTTTCATTTCCCCTCTAGCATTATGAAACTGGCGTTCACTCTGGCTCTATGAGTTCGATGGGTAAAGAGTTTGAGTTCCCGCGGGAACGGTTAGTGATTGGAGCGGTGGTCGGGACCGGTTCTTTCGGGAAGGTTGTGCGTGGAGACGCTGAGGGGATCATCAAACCGGCCTGTAAGACTGTCGTCGCGATCAAAATGCTCAAAGGTACTCCACTTCCGTTAGGTTAGAATTAACTGGTTGACTTCTAAATTCCCTCATTCCCAATTAAATTGTTCTAATTCCCTCATTCCAAATTAAATTTATACCGGATTCATCCATTTCATTCCCATTATTAGGTAATAGACACTGTGAACATGACGGACAAAGAAAGAGGACAAAATATACAGTTCCTCAGGTAGACAATGGAACATCCCTTCACTGCTATTATATAAAAATGTGTAAAAAGGTGAATATGCATGTGACACCTGTTCTACACATTTTTACATAAGAGCAGTAAAAGGGGTGTTCCTTTATCTACCTGAGGAACTGTATATTTTGTCCTCTTTCTTTGTCCGTCATATTCATAGTGAGATTCACACAATCTGAATAGACCGGTTTACTAACATATTCAAATTTATGTATGTTTCTTACCTGGGGACCTAGTGACGAGTTATTCCATTAACCTGTTATTAATGAATGAACTACAATACTTGGAATCCAATCTGCTTACATTATTTGTTGCTATTTCGGGTAGCATTGGGCAAGCTTTAAATATGTTATGCTATGGTCACATTACCCAAAAGTAGCCTGCTCGGCGGCCGAGCGGCGAGTTTTTAACCAATTCTGCCCGCCGGCTGCCCGGCCACCGAGCGGCGGCCGCCCAGGCACCGCTCGTTTTTAGGGCATCGCTCGGTCGCCGCTGAAGTTTTAGCGCGGAGTTAAAATTTGGGCGGTGCCTGCTCACTTTTCACTCGCCGCCCAAAATACGCTCGGTGCCTGGGCGGTCGCCGCCCGGGCACAGACCTAATCGCTGGGCGATGCCTAATTCCAGCAGCGACCGAGCAGGCTACTGATCGGTCAGTCGCTGCTCTGATTTGTGACCATAGCTTAAGTAAACTGGTTTATTAGACCTGCGAATTAAAGGTACCACTGTCCCATTTCCAGGCCAAAAAAATGAAAAAGTTAAATTCCAACTGCATTTGAAAGATAATACTTATTTAGAACTTCCCTAAAAAAAGGTGGGGCTTGAAAATGTCTTCAAGTGGGAAAATAATGATTATTAGTTGTCAAATCGACTTTAGGGCTATAGAGCCCAAAAGTAATAGTCTTGATTTTCAGACAATTGTACCGAATGGTCATACGTCTTATGCTGCGCAAAGATTCAATCAGTTTAATCTTGGCCATTACAAGAAGTGGGTTATTGATGTAGACAAATGCTCATGTAACCTTTACAACTCTTTTCATGTATGTTATTACCAAAGGAGAAAAAAGCCAGTCAGTCACTCAACTGAGTGTCTGACAGTGAAGTCTAGCAAGTAAACGGGTTTTCTTGCATAATTTGAATATGAGGACACTGCTAACGTTTAAATTTCACAGATAGGACATACATGACATATTCATAATTCCTGCAAAGTTCTACAGAATTTGAGGTTGGCTGCAAAAGGGACATAGTACCTTTAAGGTCTCCATATTTATCGGTTTAATTATATTCTTCAAAACGGGTTAGGCATGTGACAGATAACACAGAATCAAAAGTTCGCTTTTTTAAATCAATTTCAGCCCATATGCATTCCCTAAAACAGATAAGAACTACATAATATAACATCAACTCTTTATGAATACGCAATAAAGAAATGGGAAACTGACATACTAAAACTCTTCGTCTTGCACCCATTGGAGTGTAGTGTAGTACTAATCATGTCTTTAAAAGGGAATCTAACAAAAGAAAATAGATATATAAGTCGTAGACCCATAATGATAACTTAATATGCATAATGAATTACTCATAGCTTTTAATAATAAACAATTTTGTAAATGAGAATCGATTTCCAATGTATATGATTGACTATTAGTCCTAGGGGGGTGTTTCACAAAGACTAAGATAGACTTTAAGTTGGACTTAACTATGGCAGGCCGTTCATGCCACTGTTTGCTCTCACCATTTACTGGCATTGGTCTCTCTAGGGACGTACAAATCATGGTCACACATCTACAGAATTTACATTTTTTGATAATTCATTATTGAAGGAAAAGATATTATCTAAAGATCATAATGGTGAGAGCAATCAATGGCATGAATGGCCTGCCATAGTTAAGTCCATCTTAAAGTCTATCTTGTTCTTAGTGAAACACCCCCTGCGGAGTTACAAGAAACGTTATCAATATTTAAAATGTGTTTTAATACAATACTTTGTCAAACAGTGAAACCATGAAGGTGATAGAGTCAATTGGAATGCATTCTACCCATATATTTGTTTCTACTTTTGACCAGAGCATGCAACGGGTCTGGATCATCAAGATTTACTGAAGGAACTCTCTGTCATGAAACTACTCAAACCTCATCCTAACATCGTTACTCTCTTTGGATGCTGTACTAAAGATGGATGTAAGTAGCCATGGTAACAAGATTTAATTAGCATAGAGACAACATTTTCGGTGAATGTGTGTATTTTATATCAATACAATTATATGACCTAATTTTAGCCATGGTGGGGCATCGAAACGTCCCTTTTTTATCCTCAGCATCGTCTATGTATTTAAAAAAAACAATTAAGTTTAAGCTCTTCATTTAAGTCCATACAGTTTTGTTAAAAACAAATTAGTTTTATGTTCATAGGCAGTGAACTTTATTTGTAACGAAAAATAGCGAACTTTCTGTTAATATATCTTATTTAATTCCTCAATTTGTATACTCTAAAATATGATACATTTCTGTAAATGTAAGCTCACGTTACAAATTATTACCATTTCCCTCTTAATTACTCTTTATTTAGACGAATCACCGTTAATCATCATGGAATACTTGCCCAACGGCAACCTTCTCTCGCATCTGCGCAGTAGCAGACAACGGGTAGAAGACTTTGAGATGCACAGAACGAGCATGCGCACAACTCTCTCACCCACGGATCTCATCAGATATGCATATGAGATAGCCAATGGAATGGCGTATCTTTCTTCCATGATGGTAATCAACACTTTAGAACATAGAAATCGTACCTTTTTTTACTGTCATAAACTATTAGAGTCATGTGGGTAAAATATGAGTTTTTTTTAGTGTTTTATGAAGTAAAATATTATAAACAACATAGGTGCTTCCTTCTTCCACACTTTATGTAAATTTAAAAGAAATATAATCGACACACACGGTAACATGCACTGCTTAACATTGCCATTTTTATGATTTATTTTATACTTCACATTCTTTGAAAGAAAAAAAAGTAACATAATTCTCCTTTCAAAGGATCCCATTATTCTCCTGGGTATGGAGTGACCACAAAATATTTGTATTTCGTTCTTATGCAGTGTATACACAGAGATCTTGCTGCACGTAACATCCTCTTATCACGTGATGGAGTATGTAAGCTCTCTGATTTTGGATTAGCACGTGACGTCATGAATGGCGGTGTCTACCAAAGAAAAACACAGGTAAGAAATTGTGATTTTTATTGTTGTTGTTGTTCATAATAATGATATTGTTGTTGCTGTTGTTTCACAAAAGAAAAGCGTAATAAATGATCAGCATGCAAGACAAAAATTCGACATACCACACTAACGACCTTTGCTCCTCGGTAATTTTCTCTACCTGACCTCAAATTTGGGCCCTGTTTCATAAAACTTGTAATCAATAACAAATGATGACATTTCAATAACAAATTTGCCATCAACCAATCAGATGCCATGATTTCAGTAGCTTATAACAGTTATTGTAACTTTGTATTGATAGCAAGTTTCATGAAACAGGGCCCTGGACCCAACACATTACCTTACCCGTACCTTAAAGGGACTTGGTAACATTGTTCAGATGAGAGAAAATGGTGCTAAGGTAGTGATCTCAATGCTAGATGTACAATTGAAGATAATCTAAAAGTTTTAGTGAAAACGGACCATTATTATTAACAAAAACTGATCTGATCGAATCCTTAAATCTCCCAACTATATTATTGCATTTTAATTAAATTTTAGGTGAATGTAAATCGTCACAAAGTAATGAATTTGCTCTATACCATTCCAGACATTTCAGTGCTGAAATATTTTTAAAAGCCTGTCTTCAGTCTTACTTTCAAGGAAAAACGGTTGGAAAAATTAACAAAATGTTGGGATAATTTGCTATTAATCACTGTTAGAGTGTGTAGCACGGTGACACCTTCAAAGAAAACCATAAATATCTTTGTAGTTTGAGAATTTTCTTAGAATTTTCGCCTGTTAGAGGGTAAGTACGGTATTAAGGAATATAATAAGTAACATTTCATACCAAAAATACACATTTTTTTCATCAGCCTTCAACAATGTTACCGAGTCACTTTAAGCCTATTTTAGCACCCAATTGGAACCCAACCCTAACTTATAATCTTATCTTTCAGGGTCGCGTACCTATTCGCTGGATGGCCTTAGAGTCTCTCCTGGATAACGTGTATACCATACAAAGCGATGTCTGGTCATTTGGTGTACTTATGTGGGAAATCGTCACAATAGGTTCGTATCATTCTTTTTCATTTCATTTATTAAATTCTCCATTAAACAAAAATGAAAGAAACATACAGTTACAAACATGAGGAGGCGCGATAGCTCAGTCGGTGGAGCAGTGGTCTCGTATTCCGGTGACCCGGGCTCGGTACCAAGGCTAGTGCCCTTTGGTAAGACATTAATCCCCATTACCAGGTCCCTCGGAGAGGACCTAAAGCCGTCGGCCTTCTGGTCGCTTACTTGCAAGCATTTATGCTTTCTTAGCAGTTATGTAAAATAACCATCACATCCATATACAGATAAAAGATCGATTACAAGAATATTACAAAGGGAAGGAGCAAACAAAAGCTTATGGGAATGTGGGGTTAACAAAAAGGGCAATTAGCCTTATGAACGTCAACCCACGTATGCAAACAATAAGACACTGTTTCCTAATGAATTGATGAAATATAATGTTTTTTCGAAAATCTAAAGCTTTAAAAATTGGAAGTTATCGACCTAAAAAACTAGATATCGACTTGATGGCATTATCTTTTATTGAGTACGCATATTTACAACGACTTTGCATTACTTAAGCACGGCTAATCGCCTCAACTCGGGTTCACCTGTTATTTCGTCTCATAACTGCGGCAAAGCTGACCCCTGTTGACCCGCTATTTTGAAGGGTTACATAAAAAGTTTTCCTCGTTTACCCATCGTTACAAAACTCGATGATTTTCTGTACTGTTTACTTTTTTTGCTTCCATTCATTGAAACGTTGATTATAACCTTCCATGACCTGGTATGAATAAACGTATGTATAAAGAGTGGCCTACTTGGGATACTGAATAAACACTGTCTTCTAAACAAACATTTCAAGGCTCCGACTCGCAGGCCCAGGTTTAAAACCAGCTGGCTGATCTTACTTTCACATTCTTACTGTCCGAACCTCGCGAGTCTTCCATTCTATTGTATCCCAAGTTGGCCACTCAGTATTCAAATTTGCATTTTCTTTTCTTTTTTAAAATCTTTATATATCAATTTGAAATCCAACTCCCACATAAGTCTGTGAATATTGATGTGCATCCCCTCTTTCTTTTCTCTTCTTTTTTTCTGTCTTTTCCCCCTTTTACCAATATTTTGTTCCTTCATATTTGTATTATTATGTATCCTTTGAGGGTAGTCATACTATCAAGCTTTGCTTATTTTGTCAACCCTCCTGTTTGATTACACCCAGCCTTACTTTATTCTACATATATTCTTTTGTCATGTGTAAATTTGCAATATTTGTTTGTTATATATTTGTAAAAATGCAAAAGAAAAAGAAAATCAAACAGAAATAAATAAATCAAATCAAATCAAATAAGGTTTCATTTTTTTTTACTGCAATTCTGAAAGGAAAAAATATTTGTTTTCCTTCATATTTGTATTCTACGTTTATTCAGCTTTCCATTGATAAAAAGCTTTTAAAAAACATTGGATAGGGTCTTAATATTCATCACAAACAGCTATTTTCTATCTGTCTTGATGACGTTTGATAAATGATGCTATGTCGGATCAATTTCGTTTATTCCTAAACTTGAGAGTCAGCCTCGACTAGCACATGTGCTATTTTGACTATATTCTACCATTGATCACAACTCATTGTAATTAATAATTTCTTGTTTTACTCTCGGCATTAAATTTACTAATAACTATTTTTGGAATTTGTGTAATTTATATCGCTGTAGAAAATGTATTTGAATTCATGTCATGTTTATATATATGTTATATTGACATTGTATTGTACATTTATATATATTTTGTTTCACTGTTTTCAATGGTGTTGAATAATTAAATTTAATTGACAAAAACAAAATTTATTCTGTAGGATCATACCCGTACCCTGGTGTCCCGAGTAAGAAGCTCATCAAGGACCTCCAGAAAGGCTACAGGATGCCGAGACCAGAACACTGCAGTGAAGAAATGTAAGTTAAGTCTCTAACTTAAGTCTAGACCAGATTCCGGTTATTCCTAAATATTTTACCTCTGAGTGCGTGGGCTCGCTCATCCGCCAAATTTCACCATTACCCACGAATTCACCTTCGTGAGTAATTCTGTTGTACATACATAGGTAAATTATTCACACCCTTACCAAGTTTTGAAAAGTGGATTTGTTCTCAATTGATGTTTCTTTATAATGTGTAATATTGAAGTTAAAATTTAAAAGTATTCAACAGAGGCCCGAATTCAACCAGTCTACCCTTCATTCTTGAGTTACGAAAAAAAAAAAAAAAAAAAAAAAAAAAAAAAAAATCAAATTTACAAGGGGTATGAGTAATTTAGGTGTTAACTCTATAGCTAGTGTGCGGGTGGGCACGTACATTGCTTTATTAAGACGTACGGATAGAGAACAGCCACGACGCGAGACCAATGTCATTTGGCAAGACATCAACCTAAGTTTGCCACTCTTCACCCAGGATGCTAAATAGGCACCAGTAAGAAGGAATTTCTGGAGTGCAGAGTACATTGTTTTTTCCACATGGTTGACGAGGTACATTATTTGTTAATATTCAGTATTCGATAAAAGCAGCCCATGTCCCAAGCGAACATTAATCAAAATAGTATAAAAACAAGATGGTTGATTCTGTCATGTCAGTCCAAACTTACCGTTTTTCTTGTAAAAAATAAGAAACATATAATTACTGGTCAGAAAGAATCTCAAATTAATCACATCCAAAAGTATTGTTGTTGTTGTTGTTTGTTTTCATGGCGTTTTCCATTGCCGTTAAATGATTTTCGCCATATTGTATTTCGTCCTTCTATTTTTATTTGTCTTTCTTTAGATATTCTATCCTGTTGGAATGTTGGAGAGACGAGAACAAGCAGAGACCAACTTTCGACCAACTGAGACATCGATTAGAGACGATATTGATCGAATCTGGGGTAAGCTTTTATCTATGTTGGATTAGTTTTACAGGTCTATTTATGTAAAGTAATGCAGGGGCGACGGATCGTCTTTCAAAGTGGGGGGGGGGGGGGGGGTGGAGGTCACCAACAAAAAGGACACTTTCTGGAAAAAGGGGCACTACAGAAGGGGGCACCTCAAATCGAAATTATACATGACATTGGTAGGCCCTTTTACCCCTATATTGTGATTAGATTATCAGGGATGACTTCATTGTTTGTTTCGCTCTTTACATGGTCCAATATATTGCTTAAGCATCATACTTTGCATTTAGGTGTGATGATCTGAATATTCATTTGGGAGGGGGTGAAGCGAGTTAGCAAAAGTTTTAAGATTTGTGAGGTCGCAGTGTGAAAAATTACATCTTATAAAGAGGAAAAAACAATCCTTATCATGAAAGACTTAAAAGGTGTTAAAAGGGTAACCCAACCCTTCTAATAAGTTCATTTGAATGGAAGCGTAAAAACAGAGAAACAGAATGGCGAAAGTTTGAAATAAATCCGACCAATATTAAGAAAGTTATGAATGTTTGAAATATGAGATCACTACAGCTGTGCAAAACTCAAATCGGCAATTTTGTCACTGGATTGTGACGCAGTGACGGAGTACTCTCCCGTTTGCCGCGTACAAATATATCACTTATTTCTGTTTTTTCTTCCAAGTGCCTTCACCCTCGGGGCACTACTCAAAATATATCAGGGATAGTACATTATTACATGTCCTCTAAAAAGAACAGACCATCCCGAGTTATACATTTAAGAAAAGTTAAAGTTGTGGTCCTTTTGTGTATTGGAGCAAATGGGAAAGTGTTACGCCACTACATCACATAGACATCATCAATTCAGCCAACTTTGAAGTCCCCATACCTATAATAATTGCATCTTTTAAAAATTCGTAACTTTCTCATTTTGTGTCCGATTTTATTCAAACTGTCATCAGTATGCTTCTCTGATTTTTTGTTTCATTCTGGACAAGTTTGCTATCAAGGTTGGATTCCCTTTAAGAAGAAACAAAATTATATTAACTTAAAATGCGAGCGAATGTAGCTAGCAAGCTTTTGGTGAAATTGAAGAAAAAGTTGCTCTTAGTCGCTTTAATTTAGGAGCACGTTGTATAGTGAAAGGAAAAGGGGACACATATCCAATGTTAAAAGATGCTTATTTGAAAAGAAAATGAGCACTTGCCAAAGTAAAAATCGGATTTAAAAGAGGCGAAAAGGGGGCACTACTCGCCTCTGAGAAGGGACACTCGCCAGAGATGAAAAAGGCACTTATGAGAATGAAAAAGGGGACAATTATTAGAAGGAAAATGGCAATAATTAGAAAGGATAGGGGCACGTGTAAAAATAAACGAGGCACATAATATCAGATATAAAAAGGGGCACTTATTACAAAGTTAAAGAGGCCTCAATGAGGAAATTCTGCGCGAGGGCTCTTTATTACCCCTTCTAATAATTTATGTCATCTTTTCTCTCCTTAGAACTACCTCGTACTTGACGATTTTGATGAGCGTCTATATGAATACACGTATGATGGAAACTCTACACCGGACGAGTGAACAATGACAACATTAAGATAACCAGCTTTAATGACAATGAAAGAATTATCGTCATGCTCCTTTTTGTTAAATGGAAACCGGACCCTTCAGCGGGCGAACGCAAAGTTCCAATTCGTACGGTTCTTGGTCATATCGAAACTATTATGTTGCGACGTCATAGATTTCAAGGTTCCTTACCAGAAAGAAAGTTATTTGGACGAGCGTGCAAGGTGCTGAATTATAGTGAATGGAAGTCAGTGGCTTGATCACCAGATCACGTGGACACATGCGTCATCCTCGTCACCCAATCAAAAGCCGATAAAATGACCTAATTTTCATCTGAAGAGGAAAAGGATACACCCGAGTTTTTGACGAAACGTAGCCTAATTCATGAAGTAATGATTACTTTGTGATTTTAAAATTATGCTTTCAGCATCCCAATATAACGTGATGAATGTGCAATATCAAGTATTCAAAACAGATTTATTATCTATTTTATAGTTGTACAGTTTATAATGTATTTAACAAAGTGTAAATATGTAAGATCTAACAAAATGTAAATAGAACTAATTCGCATTACGTAATCGTCAGGTTGGGAGCCTAAATAGTGTATATTCGTGCTTTTACATAGAACCAATGTCCTTCCGGCTCGATAGACGAAAGTAGTATCTACCATACAAATTAGTTATAAAGTATTTTAAGATGTATATATTTATTTGAATGTTCATGGTTTATGCTATACAACTATCCAAGATTATCTAGCTGTAAAACCAAACCTTGTTTATTAGAGACTGAAAGGTATAAAATGTGTATATAAATAAGGGTCAACATCGATAATAGGGACTTTTAGATTCTGCAAGACGAGAACTCGGACTGCCTTTTAAGGCAATGTGACGTCACTGCCAGTGCCTTAAAAGGACGTCACATTGCCTTAAAAAGGGCAGTCCACGTTCTCGTCGTGCAGAATCTAAAAGTCCCTAATCAAGGTCCTTCTACTACCTGTTGCCCAGTTATAGTATTAATGCTCTCAACAAGCCAGTTCGTAAACAGCTTCGGAACGCATAACCCCCAAACATCCACAGATCTTTTACACGGTGGATCCATCCCACTTCTGCATTTTAGAATAATCACTGCCGAAGTGATAGAGGTGCTTCATGAATACCTTTTGTTTGCCTCTTGAGATATAGTTCCACCTGTGTATCAGATAAATGTTCTGTCGATGCATAAATGAATGCTGATTACATAACTTTCATGAACACGATACCAGTATTCGTCTCGATGGGTTTTACAATTTGGGAACAAATGACCTTTATCTGCCCATGCGCAGATATTATTTACGAACTGGCTTATTGTGCACGCTTCGGTGTGTTTTTAAGGTAGAGGGGTGAGGGGGTGGGGGGGGGGGGGGTCCAGTCCAGGGTCCATGTCAGCCCCCAAAATGTCGTTCCCCATTATGTACAAAATGTTTCAATAAATTATGGCTATGGTTTTGCACAGTTTCGGCTGTAAAAGGACATCTTTGCCCGCTGGATTTTGCTTTACATGAATATAAAAGTTAAAAGTTAGTTAATTTGGCAACTTTCATGATAATACAGTTAGAAAGTGGACTTGACTATATGTTGAACATTGCTCAGAAATTGCTCTAAAATTGAAGCGCATAACTGTTCCTAGCAAGCTGTTTCATTAACCTGCAGATAACCTTTAGGAACATTGCACTGTAACTCCTTACACCACTTCATTCAGCGTAATGACTTAATAATTATGAACAACATTTCTTTAAATTATGATGTACAGAAAGGTTCTATTCATATTAATTATTACAAAAAAAATGACTATTTAACATAGCCCTTAAGAAAAAGGTATACTTACAAAAAAAATAGATTCTTCCCGCGGGGGTAATTAACCCTTATATTTTGTAACTTTCAAAGCTAAAGGATGAATGCATATCGAGCTGAAGTTTGCCCCAATGTTGTATAAATGTGCTATTGTTACAGTATTAAATGAAAGTAATTTGTCTTGTGAACGACGGCAGTCATCTCGTTGCTCTGTTACATGATTAGTGTTATTATCATGTGATGAATAAAGTCTAAAATATAATAAAGTCTTTCAATTCAAATCGTTTTGAGCTCATTTTTTATTGTACAATTGAAATTTGCTTTCGAAAATAGAGTAACCAAGACAAATTTAGTGTTTCCATAGAAATTCGGTCCTTTTAGATGGAACAAGGACTTGGAGTAATTACGGTGAGAGCGACCCGATGTACAAAATGAGAATTTTAAAAATAAAATCCAACATATGAAGGTTCTAGGCCTCTGATGGTTCGAAGCAGCATCCATGAATTTCCCTACAGACTGCTGAACAGTTTAGAGAATAAACTGACCGGACATAGTTTTACTCGGGCGTGCAATTAATGCATGAACGCACTGGCTGTGCGTAAATTTAGCACCCCCCCCCCCCAAAAAAAAAAAAAAAAAAAAAAAAAAAAATCGATTGGTTGTCTTCGTCCGCCCGCTTGTCATTTTCGGGCCGCTCGTATATTTTGTTTTCTTCTTTTATTTTTAAATTTATTTATTTATTTATTCTATTTTATTTTATTTTATTTTATTTTATTTTTTATTTTTTTTTTTGGGGGGGGGGGGGGGGGAGCAATGTTCAATGCCCAAAATACCATTTTTTGCAATTTGCAAGGATCAAAATACGTCCCGTTGCCAGTTTCGTCTTTTCAGTACGCAATTCTGTATTTATTAACATTGCCATTTTTATTTTACTATGTCAAAATGCAGTTCATTCAAATCAGGTTCTGAGCATTCATAAACTCATTTTAAAGCCCACCTGTATTAGTTTACAGGAGGGATTAAACCACCCTGGAAGGTCACTAGACAGGTGGTTATCTCATCAAATTAGCATTTGTCATTGTTTGCTATATAGAGGGCGCAAGTAGCTATAAGTAGTACAGTGGGGTTTTAAAAGGTACTGTATTTCAAAGCCAAAAATACTTTCTGTGTTGGTCTTGATATTCATTGTACATTGAAATATTCTTTTACCATATTAAAGTGTTTAATTTAATTTGTTTGTTTAAATGCTTGACATCCCAATGATTTTTTAATTTTTCTATGGACAAATATATATTAAAAAAAAAAAAAAAAACGAAATGGGGGGGGGGGGGGGGGATAAAAAAAAGACACACATAAAATGAAATTATAAAGAATATAAAAAAAGCAATCGAGGACAACCAAATTAATTTTTTTGGGCCTTATCAATGGACCTGTGCAGTACACATGCAGTAATGCAGTATTACTTATCCATAAAGAAATATAATGAACAATAGGCTAGCAAGATAGGAAGAGCTTGTTTGTTCGTTTATGACCAAGTTCGGAAAGTTTATCACGAAATATATTTCTCCCTCTTCTATCTCAAGATTTATCTCGTCTAGCCTTTTTCATGTCCCTGTCTTATTCCATGTTCTTGTTGACAATTTGTTTGCTTTGTTTTTAATGAATTGCAAATTACTGTATTTTGTCTATCAAACTTTTAATGTATTATATTTAATTTTTTAATCTTTTGAAAATTCATTTTGATTCAGCCTTTCGCCACTTTTTTGAGTGTATGCTTTTTGTTTAAATCAACGCACCAGTATAAAACGAATCAAATTAAATCACATATAAAATCGCCTTCCAATTCACATGAGGGACTACAAAAGGTCTTTCACATTCAAGTCTATTGAAAGCATTCCACAGTATTTAAAGAAAATAGAATACGTTCTAATCATGCTATTAGGGGCTAAATTAAACTTAGCTGGTCGGCATTCTAGAAAAAAAAAATCACCTCATGGTTAAACAAAAAGACACGCGAGCTAAGGAGTAAAGCCCCATTCAGTTAATATCAATTCTTCTTTATTTACCTATTTATTCTGACATTAGGGTACCTATTGATCTCATTTGATGCTTTGTTTCAAGTAAAGTCAGGATTACCGAGATACGAATTATCTACTGATTCTTGTTCAGCATTCATCGTTATTTTTCTTCTTTCTTTCTTCTTTTTGTTTTTGGGTCCGCACGTGAGGGGAGCTTTAGCCCCCAAAGCACCCTAGTATATCCTATAGTGTGTGTGTATTGTAATCTTTACAGACGTGTATCAATCACATATGATTATTTAATGCATAGGCACTGAATTAAAAATAGGCCTCACTCAAGACACATTAATGATTGTAATAGAGTGTCAAATACAGGGTCTGTGTTTGTAGACCATAACATAGGAAGGCATGAAATATATAGGGACGGTTCACGCGTTAAAATAGGGACTTTTAGATTCGCACCAAGACAATAGGTCTATGCTACGATCGACGTCCTTTTAATGCACTGCCTTGAATGGACGTCACACGTATCAGTCCACGCAAATCTAAAAGTCCCTATTAACTACATTATTGCGTCATGGAGGTGGTGAAAGGTTTCAGGGTTAATCACTTTTTCATTTCGCTTCCTCAAAGAATCGGAAAGTGAACCGGAACCTCAAAAAAGTTACATGCCAATGGCATCCTGAAATGAAACACAACATAAATAAACATAATACGTTGATAAGCACGATGCCATCAAGTAGGTCTCACTAACAAAAGATATAATCTCACAATTTACCTCGAAGCAGTCAAACCAGTTGGCCACGATGGAAGGAAAGCGATTTGAAGACATTGTCCGAATGTTGATCTATGTTCAACTATTCCTAACTTCAGTTTGCGGTAAGTAGAAGTTTTATCTGTTTTATCTGTTTTAAAGAAGTGAATTTTCATGCAATACTTTCAGGGTGTGCACATGAGATCATCCGACATTTTAATAAAATATTAGCTGAACAAGCTAATAACAAAAACACAATCCAAGATATTTCATTAAATTAAATGTTCATGTGGGGGAAGAAAGCACACTAGAAGATGATGATGATGATGATTATGGTATCTGCCTCTGCTAGACCTTTGGGCCTTCTCTACGATCTTGAAATGTAGGTACACAATCATTCCAACAGGAGATAAATCCAATTTGGTTTTATTCCAAAAGGAGCTAAATCCACTTTGGGTACTTCTGAGTAAATCACCTTTTTTATTTCTCCACTTTCCCTTTAGCCATGTATCTTCCTGTTGTTATATATGTTAAAGGTGTCACCCTGGACCAATAAGATATGATTAGAAAAAATCTACCATTTTTCAGATCTTTACGAAATTTGTTTGATTTTTTTTTGTGTGGATTTAGCTCCTTTTGGAATAAAACATGTTATTGTACCTAAACAAATTCATATTTTTTCAATAAAGTCACTGAAATTTTATTCAAATTTATCAGAAAACCTTTCCTTTTAAATAATAATAGTGAAAGCACAATAAAAAAAAAGTTTTGAAAAGAAAGTAACTTAACATATCACAGTTTCATTCCAAAAGGAGCTAAATCCATGTTACATTCCAAAAGGAGCTAAATCCACAAAATCTAAAAAAAAATGGTAAAAATAGAAATAACTAGTAGATATTTTTACTTATCATATATCATTGGTCCTTGGCGGCAACTTTAATATATATTACATCATGAAGGTACATGGCTAAAGGAAAAGTGGAGAAATAAAAAAGGGGATTTACTCAGAAGTACCCAAAGTGGATTTAGCTCCTTTTTGGAATGAAACCAAATTGGATTGATCTCCTTTTGGAATGAAACATGATTGTGTACCTACATTTTTTCATACTTCCCAGTGAAATTTTAGAATGTGATATCGTGCATTTTGTCCCCATGTAAGAAATCATTATTTTAAGACAAAAAAAAAAAAAAAAAAAAAAAAAAAAAAAAAAAAAAAATCAATTTTTATAAAATATGGATTTAGCTCCTTTTGAAATCAAGCTTTTCATATGATGAATGCTCTTATTATTCTTGAGTACGTAGATCGTGTGCGTGTGTGTGTGTGTGTGCGTGTGTGTGTGAGGGTGTGTAAGGTAGGCGCGTGTGTGACGGGGTGTGGGTGTGAGGTATGTGTATGTGGGTGTGGTATTCTGAGGAGGCTAGGAACCGTGTGTGGCGGAAGTGTGGACGGGTGGTGTGTGTGTCGTTTGGTGGGGGGGGGGGGAGGGGGGGGGGGGAGAAATGTGTTTGGTTTGAAGGGGTTATTTGTTTTATGTTACAACTGATTTCATTTTTTTTTCATCAATTGTACAATCTATGTAATGAAAATGTTTTGAATTATGTCAAGGAATAACAACTTATTTATAACATTAATTTGTATTGTTTTGAGTCAATAAAAAAAAATTAAAAAAAAAAAAATGCATGTGTTTGCGGGTGCGTGTGTGAGTGCGTGTGTGTATGTGTGTGTGTGTGTGTGTGTGTGTGTGTGTGTGCATGATGCCGTACAAGTGTGATTTCAGGTATGTGATCCAACACAATCTGTGTTTTATTTCATACCACACCAATACTTGGCAACAATTCTATGTGATAAATTTATGTATGAACACGCCATGACATATAGTAAGGCGGAACTTCCTCGACATACATGGCCCTATATCTTTTTTGGAGAATTAAGTTTGTTAATAAATGTGTCTATTTATATCCTTCCTAGTTGGTTCATCGCCATGCATGCCTGAAACCGACCGTTTGGGGCGCTACACGGTCATAGGTGGTGGCGGTAACACCTCGTCGGCGGGTGTTCCTAGTGGGTCTAGGGTTCAAGTCTCAGTAAGATGCGATTCGGGTGCTGTCGCACAACAATCTGTGACGTCACAATGCTCTAATGGAACATGGATCCCTCCCTGGCCTCGATGTGGTAATTTTTTTTTCTTTTCTTTTACTTTGGAATTCCATGACTGATATCGAATTTTAGTGAACGGTGTGTGTGTGGGGGGGGGGGGGCAGGGTAGGGTGAGGCTTAATCAGGTTTAATAGCGTCCTTTTTCTTTAGATTTCGAGAGCATTTCAAAGGAAAATTAAAGTGAATTTAATTAAAGTTTTCATCCAAATATTATTGATTTATGAAAAGGATATCTTACAAATTTATCTCACCTATCATTTCTTACTCTCGGCTCTAAGGAGATGAATTTTGGAACATTTTTACCCAACACAAGGATAAAAAATATCCCCTCAGCTGAACTGCGAGTATATATTTCATAAACTATTGCAAACAATTGCATATTGCATAACAAAAAGAAAGAAAAACAATTTAGAGCAAAATGTTTAAGGCCCTTCGACTAATTTCAATATTGTTTGTATTTTGTGGCGTCCTGCTCCAGAAAAACCTTGTTCGGTACCAAGGAACATAGGACAGGTTCGCCAGTTTTTGAATGATAAAAGAATGACTAGCTACTATAACCGTCCCGCCTTGCCCAATGGCACCCAGATAGTTGCTAGATGTAGAGACCCTGGAAAGCATAGATTGATTGGTGATCAAAGACGAACTTGTCAAGGAGGACAGTGGACCGGGGAAGAACCAATATGCCGTGAGTATCAACGCGCTTCAACCGAAGATTTTGAGCAAATAAGGAAAGAATAAAAGGATGAAACAAAAATCGCGTCTTTGTTTCTTGGGTATCAGCAAGGCGTAATATTCAACAAACAGCGTTAGTTCCCTGTCTTTAAAGTCTGACAATAAATAGTAATTAAACATATTTGTTTCTTCTATGAAGACCTTGCAGTAACAAACTTCAGGCCCTCTTAGAAAATAAAAAGGGTCTCACCTATTTGGTTTTACCCTTAATGCAATTTTACAGCTTCCGGTTCATCTGCCCGTTGCGGGCGCGAGACATCAGACATGGGGCTGCGTCAGCGACTGGCGCAGTCTTGGACCTGACGCATCAAATGATAATGACACCCTACACAAGATGAATGTAAAATTAGTAGTGGAAACTTTGCTTTAATTTATCGTGGATTGATTAGCATGATGCCTCGAGTGTGTAACGGGTATTATGAAAGGCAAGCAAGAAGAAGAGGAGAATGGGTGCAGGGTTCTAGGGTGGGGGGGGGGGGTTCGGCGGTTAAAAACCCCTCTCCCCTTGGGCGGCCAGTAAAAAAAAAGGGGGGGGGAGGGGAAAAAAGAGAAACAAAAAATTACAGTAAAACGGCGCGATTTTTTGAAAAATCCTGATCCGCCACTTGGTCAAGCCACCTCCTGGGGTGAGAACATGAGAGAGCAAGAAAAAAAAAAGAATGTGAGAAAGAGAGAGAGAGAGAGAGAGAGAGAAAGAAAGAGAGTATTAAAGATAGTTTATGGAGAGGGGAAGGGGGAGATATAGGCTGTGCTGAGTGAAGGACTCAGAGAGGTATAGAGACTAATTGAATGTGTATGTGTGAGAAAGAGAAAGAGGGAGAAAGAGAAAGGAAGGGGGAGAGAGAGAGAGTGAGAGAAAACAATCGAAGTTAGTGTGATGTCTTAGTTATCCTTTTAAATGTGACTTAAGGTCTAAGGTCGGATCTAACAAGGGGATCTTACTGCATAACTACGGACCATTTTGATCACTGTTGCACTAAAGCGGTGGGCCTATGTTCATTTATGTTGCAGAAGAATAAGAATGTACCAATTGCTCGATTAATAATCAATGATTCAATGTTGTTTCTTCGTAGAACCTGTACAAACACAAGTCTTATTCTACGGCGCATCGCATGAGGTTGCTAGTAATGGGACAGTCGTGGTTCACGTGCATCGTGGAAATCCTTTGAATCTTAATGTACTCTGCAGACTCACAAGTCTAAGCTTAAGACCTCCTCGGCTGACAACCCCTCTCGTGAATGACGGAGAGTTACCGGTAAATTCATTTCTCATATAAGCGTTTTCAGGGTTAGCAACATGGTTAACATTAGGCTTGGGGATCAGACAACGAAACACCACCATTAGTGACTTCAGGAAAGTATACTAAGGCCACAGACCGACAGCATACAAGACCTACATTCTCGGTCTTATTGTGGGCTGTCGATCTATTAGATATACCAAAGTTTAAACGGAGAGGGAATAACAAGAAAAGGCAAATACAATCTACCCATTTGTGAAGATTAACATGGATCCTGTTCTAAATTCGGCGCCTTAATTCATGTGAGTTGAGTATACGTACATGTATGTCAGTTGATCATATCTCCCTATTACCTTTCAGCAATGGCACAGGTTGAATACTCATAAAATAGAGCTGAGTCCAATGTCTACTGATATCTCTGGCATGTATACATGCAGTGGGTCGTCATCATCTCACAGCGTACATGTGCTGTTTAAAGGTATGCTAACCTTTCATATTTTTTCCCCGCGATTTTTGTATTTGATTCCATTCAACATAAATTATATTCCAATTGAATATGTGAATTATAACAAATTATTGAACAGAAACAGAAATAAGGAGGTGAATTTTAAGCACCGACACTTTTTAGTCAATTAATACATAATAAAATTCAATAATTACAGCGAGTAGACAAAAATAAAAGACACATTTCAATACATTAATTGAGGATTTTAAAAATAAGATACAGAACAAAATTTATACATGTGCGCGCTTTCTCTCTCTCTCTCTCTCTCTCTCTCACACACACACACACACACACACACACACACACATGTACATACACGCACGTACAAACGCACATATACCCACACTGGAGCTTTTAATTAATTAAATTAAGAGACATAATTGATTAAAATGCTGTCCTTCACTTCACCGTATTGCTGTATTTTGTTTTTATTGTTAGTTTACTTTTCATTCAATTTTCATATTGACAAAGCTGAGTGGGTTGTTTAGCCATTCACTATATTCTTGATTTGTATAATTATGTACTTTTCATTTTTTTGGTATTTAAAAAGAAATTATAAACAAAAATTATTTGGAGAATACATACCATACCATACCATACCGTGTTATAGCTGCTGAATGTGAAGAAGTCTACAGCTTGGTGGGATCTAGAGAAATAACATGTGAAAAGGGTCAATGGTCGGATGATCCACCCGTATGTACAGGTACGATGTGGAGCCTTATTTCTGCACATCTATCATTTTACTTGAAAGTGACAATATTTTTCTGTCGTATTACACTACTGCTTGATCTCGATTCTTATATTCTAAAGAATAAGTGTGCCTGAAATCTCATCAAAATCCGATTAAGGACTGTGTCATTTTCACAAGAAAATGCGGCGGTGTAGTTTTGACCAAGTATGCGCACTCTATCATTCACTTTACATGCAGTTTAGGATTTGTAACATGAAAGATGGCATTTCGAGATTTAAGAATCGAAATTACTTTAAATAGACGTTTCTCGTCAGGTTTTACTATTTTTTTTATCACGACAAGCATCGCTAAACTAAACAAAGTTTGTGTGTTCTTTCCATGTTATATTTTTATACAAAAGCGCATATAAACAAATTCTGTGCGGAAAAGACTTAACCAGACTTAAACTACATATATATGTACAAAGTTTAATAGACCTGGACCTGACTTGAACCTAGGTTTAATTTAAGAGTTAGGCGAGACTTAGACTAGACTTAAACCTAGATTCATAGTTAAATCAGACTTCAGAATATGGGTCATGGGGTTGTTGTTTTGCTTTTTCTTCAGAATCTACTGAACCACCAAAGAATAACGGATCGTGTTTAAACAGCTGTTGTACGAGCTCTGAGTATTCTTGTAACCCTGAGGGTTGCTACTGTGATAGCTGGTGCGAGTGGAATGACAACTGTTGCGATGACTACGAAGACGTGTGTCCTAGCATAGATGGCGGTATAGGTATGTATATCCTTCCTTCATTCTTGCATTCATCTACTACCTAGTGCCAGGAGAAACTATACTACCTATTCCAAATTTGATTAGTTATGTTTATGCTATATATACATTTGATATAGTGCCAGATCATCAAAAGGAATCTCTGGCGCATCAAATGCACCACAGCATTTGGAGATTACAATTCACATAGCATGAACCCTTTAGTATTGGTTTGGGCATATGGGCATGGAACTAGGTGGAATAATAACTTGGTAAATACCATTTTGCAGGGAGGAACTAATGCGAGAAGAAAATGTGCAGACAAGCTAGGACATAGAATGATAAGAGAGGTATTATTTAATGACATCAAACAACAAAAGAAAGATGCTACATGACATTTTATTATCTATCTATCAGGTTAACTTCTCCCAGCTCGGAGATCGATTGCAACATTTTCCAAAACATCTTTGTTTTCTGCCACCTTAGAACACTCCTGTACTGTCATTCCACTCCAAGTCTTAATATCCCTTCCTGCACTATAAAGCACTGGTAAAATGTTTACGTATTCAAACTTTTACAATCCTCCCCCTCTCCCGCATGGTGCAACCGCAAGCCTAACGTATATGTATTAAAACCTGTTGGTTAAAAAAAATAACCAAGGGTTGTGTTAAATGCCGTGGTTTGGTGAAAATGTGGTTGGTTAAAACTAGTTTCAGTTGGTTGGTTAAAAAACAAATTAACATGCATTTAGTTAAAATGCCGTGGTGTGGTGCACTTGGTTAATCAAAATATAGGATTTCCGCCGTTCAATGGTTGGTTAAAAGTAATGATCATGTGAAAATAAATGAGCCAATGGACAACAAGAACCACGCCTCGCAGTTTGCAACAAATTTCATCTCGGGATGTCATAATGGAGTCAGTAGTCAAAAAGATGTTTATCTTGGGAGTTCGAAGGAATAGTTAAGGTGTTTGAAGGTAAGCTAAACGAATATTTACTATACCATTCTACTGATGAAATTCGTTGCAAACTGCGACGCGTGATTCTCGTTGTCTATTGGCACTTTTCATGTCACATGATCATAAATTTTAACCAACCGTCGAATGGCAGGAATTCTATATTTTGGTTAACTAAGCGCACCAAACCACGGCATTTTACCCAAATGTTGGTTAATTGTTTAACCAACCAACTGAAACTAGCTTTAACCGACCACATTATTACTAAATCACGGCACTTTACACAACAGTAGGTTATTTGTTTTAACAACCAGTTTTAATACGTAACAATTTTACCAGTATTTTTTTAGTGTACCTATTTCATTACACTTTCAGACGTGTTTCCATCGAATACAACTTACAATATGCGAGGGGGTGAACTCATACGTGTTTCTTCTCCTAACTACCCTAATAACTACAATAATCTCGAGAACCTTCTGTGGCATGTCAAAAGTGTCCACGGGCGCCAGTTCGTCATGACATTCTGGAATGTGAGACTGCACTCAATCCGTGATTACGTTCGCATTAACACGGGGATCTCAGAAGTATTTGAAGAGAGTACGCAGATATTCTACTTGACGTATAACTCTACTGATGATTTGCCGGATCACTATTGGTCAATCCATCCTAATATATGGCTGCAGTTCTCCACCGATGCGTTTGGTACTGACCAGGGTTTCTCCATCTGGATAGTGTCTACTTCATTTGGAGGTGAGAAACAGGGACTATGCTTTTATTAAATATTAATTCAATTCAATTAAAATCATTTATTCACTCAATATATAAAAACAGATACATAAAATTGCGTATTAACGCATACACGTATGTCAAGTATAAAAAGATGGACATAGTTAACTCAGTAGTTGACAGCACAAGTAACACAAATTGAGAGGGATCAGATTAAAAATCTATTTAAAGATCTTGTGAATTCGACCCCATTGTGATGTATAAATTGCATTGTATACTGTTGCATATACAACAACAAGAGGGAGATAATACATAAACAGCTGGGTCTGAGAGAAACGAGAGAGGGAGATAGAGAGAGAAAGAGAGAGAGAGAGAGAGAGAGAGAGAGGGTGGGGTTTGGGGGGGGGGGAGAGGAAGGTAAATTGAAGGAGAGAAAGGCAAGGTGAGAAGTAAAGTTAATACAAGCAGAATAATAATATTTATATTAAAAAAAAACAGGGATATAACAATTAACATTGGAATAAACAACAAACAACACGTGACTCAATGTGAATAAGTTTGCAAAAGCCTTTCTTTGTATTGTCTCTTGAAAACGTTCTAAGCGCATGCAGATTTTAGATTAGGTGGCAATGCATTCCATATTTCGGGACCTGCATAGTAAATAGTCTTTTGAGAAACTGAAGTTCTTGGATATCAGATGTGAAAATATGCATTTGATCGAGGACAGTGGGAGTGGATGAGTTAATGGAATAATAGCGTTTCAGGGATAATGGCAAGATCTATCTCTGACAAGAAAACATAAAAATGGCTTAATGTATACAAATCGAATACATTCAAAAGTATTAATTGAGTAAATAAAGGTTTAGTGGAGACAAGGAAAAGCATTTTACAAATCACCTCACTGCTTTTGTTTGCAACCTATAGGCCCGAATTCACAACAGTGGTACAAAGAGGTTTTGTACCAAGGTTTATCGTCCATAGATCCATAATGATCAATACTACACAGTCGAAACTAGACATATGGATAGACCATAATAGGAGGAGCATTTTATAAGAAATGAAATCGTGAAAATACATTCTTCAATATGTAAAACATGAGGATACGTATCACCTAATTCGTCCAAGTGACGAATTCAAGTCTAGTTGACATTCGATTCATCAAGTCGAAGGATTACATCATAAAAACCAATATAGATTAAAAGCCAGAAATTAAAAGAAGTACTATTTAGCCTAAGAAGTTAAAACCATTTGAGACCTGTACAATTTCTAATAAATGTTATATCTCTTTCGAATATTTTGCCTTGTTAGATTGTGATGGGAGTCGGTTTCAGTGCACGAACGGACAATGTATTCACAGGTCTGCCGCATGTGATGGATATAGCGAATGTGTAGATTCATCTGATGAGTACTGCGGTAAGCTTTGTTTATATTTTACATCTGGTATTATTGTTGAAAAGGTTTATCAATGTGGTTTGAATTTGATGAAATAGTTCTGTGACACAGGGACATTTACTAACAGATCATTGCCAGTACATGTCTAAAAAAATTGTCTCAACCTGAACTGTCCATAGATAATTTTTATTTTTTATTTCTTTAATGTGCCACAGGCTACATACAATCTAGACATTTTAGAACGAAGAAACGTGTCCTCGGTTAACGCAGTAAGTGACAATATAAATGTCTGTTTCGGAACACTCAAGGTACAATGAACTAAATTTTATAGTATGAATATAACAAAAAAATATAAATATAATATGTCTAAAAACGATTAAGAGATAGGCTAGAGGTAAGGTCGGTTGTCTGTCTTCGTCTTTAAACTGATTCCGAGTAACGGAGTTTATATGCTAACGCTAAAGGTTAGTTCCCAGAAGTAAAATCACATTCATAAGAACCCAATTACACGCAGACACACCACGCACCACACACACCCATACACATATTTAGTCACTACAAGTAGTAGGAATTTCAATGGTTATAGGATTAATTGTATAAAGTGTACATGCATATACATCTTTGTCTCTTTCGTGTAATTTTTTTTTATAGTGCTTAAAATGTTAAAACTTATGATATTGGACTACCACAATACACACTTTTTATGGTAGGCCCATGTTTTATTTTCAGTATTTTATTTTTTGCATGTATTATGTAGGAAACCAACTATTCTGATAATTTTATCCCCAGCACCAAGAAACGGATCCTGTTCAGACAGCTGCTGTGTGAACTCCGAGCATTCGTGTAATGCTGAGGGTTGCTACTGTGACAGCATGTGTGTGGATAATGGAAACTGTTGTGACGACTACTCCGATGTATGTCCCACCTCTGGGAATGGAACTACACAGCATCCAACACAGTTTACTACGCCCTCATTGATTCTCAATAGTAATAGGCTTTCAATATCTGTTCATCTAGCCCTTACCCCTACTTCTCATCTTTACAGTTGATGTAAAATAGCTGAGTAATTTCATGGGAGAAAAAATGAATATATTATACTTTTTTGCAATCAATTTTGTAAATTGTATTCATTTGTTGCCAGTAAAAAAAATTCTGGGGACTGAAGTGCCAATTCAAGATTTGTGCCATATTCATTTAACGAATTTCAGATTGTACAAATCCTCCAACACGTATTCTCAGTAAAGTGTAACACAATTATATATAGATCAATTCCTTTATATAACAATCGATTCAGGAACTTTA